GTCTGATATTAAATTATTAACGCCAACACCTTATGGTACTGTTGACCAAACGATATAAAAATTGATTGCAAGAAAATTAGTGAAAGCTTTATAATAATAAGTTTGTGACTTTATTTAACTTATAAATTGTAATAAATGAACAAATTTTAGACTAATCTAAATGTTTGACCCGAGGCTTAAAATACAGAAACTTGTGTAAATCGTGCATTGATTTAAAAAATATGCTTTTAGTGAACATTTTATATAAAAAATGATATCATATTAATGTTATTGTATCAAAACTTTTATTATTATAGTTATTTTGTTAGAAAAAGTTTGTCTTATAATCAAAACACTATTATTATGTTTAATAAGTAATGTTTCATGAATTGAGTGCATCCATTGCCTGTACTAACTGTTCCTAACAGTGCCCTCAGACCTACCCTCGTTGATGTCAGTGCTGGTGACAGGTTTTGAGTTTAATTTTAACACTGGATTGAACTTAAATAGTTGTATAGTGTGTTATAATATGTATGTTATGATAGATATGTTGGATCAGTGAATCCTTTCAGACCAATACCAATGACATACTGTTTGCCTTCACTTCATTCATGATATCAAAACGTGACTCTCTTCTCATTTACCAATTTTTGTCTAATTTTTATTCACAACTCTATTATATTCACTACTTATTATATAAACCCAAACAATACATTAGATATTAAATTAAATTTCTGATTCACATTCAATTTCATTTCATATTCTCTTCAATACACATTCATTATAATATCAAACAGTTTTATCTTTAATAGCAAAAACTCATTTGATTTGATAACTTTATTTTCATCATTTGGCTTACAATTTTGAATTAAAATTTTTATTTTTGTGCATATATTTATTTATTATATATATATTGCAATTTTTACAAACATACTTAAATATTAATCAATCGTATACTAAACACATAGTATGTGTATTGTTTTAATAATCTATTTACAGGTATTTATTATAATATATAATAATTTTATGATCTAAACAAATATATTTTATTCAATACAAATTTTTATATTACATTTATAGTATTAAAAATATAATTTTTATGAAACATGTTTCAATAACAATCTACTGTATAATAATGTTCTAATATTAGTTTATTTTAATATCCACTTTATTAAAATAAATTAGTATAAAAAGTAATTTAAAAATTTTGGATTTTATTATAGATTTGCTGTATATTCAATAAAACTAAATAAAATTAAAATTGTCACGAATTTAATGATGAACTTAAAACAAAGCAAAAAACTGTTTGTATCCGAATATAAAGAATTTAAGGTTTAAATTAAAGTATTTATCGAGAATTGAATGTTTTTTAAATCAATGATGAAATTATTATGAAAATAATAGTATGTTTTGTTATAAACTGTAGTGAGACTTACTATATATAAAATACGAGTAAAAACTATAGCGAGCGATAAAATAAAATAATTGCTTTTTTAGATTATATTTTTGTATTCGTGACCAAACTTGCAGTTTATGACAATAGCCTTTTACTGTAAAGATGTCATGTTTTCAATATTAAATGAATACAATTGAATGCAATTTAGTCATTGCATTGATGAACACATTGTCTATCTATTATCTTTATATTTCTATTATTTTGTAATTTATTATTTTACTTAATTAATGTTTTTTCAACAAATATTATTTAGTTTATATGATTGAATTGACAATAATCTCTCAAATATACTCTAAAATATATTGTATTAAATCTATTTACATAAATGCTATCAATAAATGTTTGATTAGCAATTTTTTATTTATTTTGTTTCAATAGTTTTTTTTGTAAAAAATTTAATCTAAAGATCAAACACATTACATTGTTTAACATTTTATTGAATTACAAACATTGAGTTTAAAAAATAAAAATCTAAATAAAAATTGATCATATTTTTGTTTAAATTCTGTTTTTTAAATATTAGTTTTTATTACATTATTTTAGTATTAATCATATTTATTGTTATTAAAATTGATCATATTTTGTGTTATATATATAATTAATTGTTTATGATTAAATTGAACGATTTTTATAATTAATAATCTTGGTTATTGTTATTGTTATTGCTATATTGTTAATTTTGATATTTTTCATATTGTAAACAGAGATTTCTATTTATATCACTAAATTATATAAAATAGTTGTGTAAGTAATATATAGAAAATGTTTGTAAGTTTTTTTTTGAGTGACAATCCCAAAGAGCTGTTGATAATTAAAGTGTCAGTAAATTTAAGTTTGAAATGAGATGAGAGTAGTATTTAGAGTTGAGTAGCATTAGTGTAACACTAGTACTGTATGTAATGCCATAATGTATGCATACATATTCAACTTTGTTTGCTTTTACAGTATGTCTAAAACTGTAGATATACTGTACTCTACTGTATATCTAAAAGTGTTTCCCATTTTAATCTTGAATTTTTTTAAATGTATTAACAAAACGAAATTGCATTTGAAGTTAACTCTCTTGTCTATCAGTTTTTGTGTCGGTTTTTTTTGTATGAAATAACGTATAAATGTATAACATTTTCTTTATAGCTATTGGTATCACTTGATTAAGAGTTGGGTTTACTTACAATACTCTTATAACATAATGGTATGAATGGTATTGTATGTGAATATCTTTCTACACTTGACTTCATTCAAATTCAGTCTCATATGTATAGCGCGGCAATTGCTCTGTCATTCAATACCACTGTCCATAACCTAACATATCGCTCGGCACACGGCTTGTGATGAACGCTCTCTCAGGGAGTTTACAGAGTATATGAGCGCATAAAAAGTTGTACAACTGATTCATTGACTATATATAAGTATATATACTGTATATAGTTGGAGAACAAAAAGTGAAATACTTATACCCTCGAGGTTTTCAAAATGTTTTTAGAGATAAAAACATCGATTTTGCGGCATTTACTCGATTCAGACACAAGAATAATGCATTCAATTTGATTGCACACCTCAACAGTGAATCCAAACTAATGCAAACACTACTAGTTTTCTGAACATTAAATACTCACTTTTTTTCAAAAAATAAACCAATAGTGTACTAATAAATACTGCACATACGGTAGGTTTTTATTGAAAAAGCTAACTGTGCTGTTTATTTTGAGATACAATATTCTATTATTTAGATTATCATATTTTAAATGCTATTGTAATAGAAATATCATGTATTGAGTATTAATAAAGTACTTTAATAATAATTTACTGGAAAACATTGGGTGCATAAAAATATTTAATTTAGTATTTGTAACAATAATAACAATGACTAAAAACAATACATTGCATTATTGAAGTCTTAATCAAATATGCTTTGTTTTGTTATTAATATATATTACGATTGAATTAAATTAATTGATTTAATGACAAATTGAGAATTTATTATAATGAGTAGTCATTATTACCAAAAATACAAATCATTTATATAGTGTTGCTATAAAGTTATATACAATATATAATATTATATACTTTTAGGTAATAAGTTTGTTTGTAGTGACCATCAGAAAAGCTCTATTTCCTAAACATTATCCGTGTTTATAAAATCTTGCATTACTTTAGTTTATTGACTTGAAAGACACTTGAGTTTCGTTTTGAACATTTAGTGGTCAGTCAGGCCTGGAATCGCATTGAAAGGCACCGGCATTTAATCAACCAAAAGGGGATCACTCATTGCTTTTATGTTATTATGTTGAAAGGGGAACAACAATGTGGACAAATCATTGACAACAACACAAAAAAATCTATATATAAACCAAATTTCACAAACTATTTATTAAACTCTAAATGTCTTTTACTTAAACTTCTTCACTTTGATCATCACTTTTGTTTTCACTTCATAATACAGTACTTAATAACAATACATTTCTCTCAACACAATCATTCACTTTAGTCACTAAGTTATTGACATAATTCCCTTAAACACCGCATGAAATTCAAATCTTAAATATATATCAAATACTTTTACATTTTTTCATAAAATATTATATTTATTTGTGATTTAAACAAGCAAATTGTTTAAATGTATCCAGGCAGAAAAACAACATATATATAGTATATTATCTATAATCTACTATGGTATGCTATATTGTATATACTAAATATTATATTAATATTAAATTGCATAATAAAGTATAAATTGTACAAATATTTATAACTTTAGTGTTGTCAACTTTTGCATACAGTATTGCACAAGTGTACAGTAAACTGTAGACTTTATATTACATTAATGATTAGTTTATATTAGATTTAATTAATCTTTATTTAAATACATTATATTTATTATTACATTTATGCACATTTGATTATTATAAATTAATTCTTATCTCTTCAATGTAAATGATCCTTTATATAAATTAATAAATAATTTTTACTTATTATTTTTATTATGATTATACTAGCTCATTAATTATAAACATTGTTGATAATATACAGTATAATGTATAATAAATAAATAGCTATTATTTTAATATGAGTGGTTTTAAATTTAAATATAAATAAATTGTTGCTTTGTTTGAATTTAAAAAATACAATTATGCAAAATGTTTTATAAAATATTTTCATTTAATGCCATATTACTGTTTTACTTTTTACCGATACTGTGTTAGATTTAAGTTTTACATTACATTTAATTTAATATTGTTGTTCAAATTTACTAGCATTTAGAAAAATTATTTTATTTATTATTTATAGTACAATACTTATTATAATTATTAGTTTGTTTTAATTATTGATAGGTTTTAAATTAAATGAAAATTTTTTAATCAATGTTTGTAACTCAATTGACTTTTACAATAAATAGTATAAATATAGTAAATTTAATATTTGTTTTCTTATAGTAAAAAAAGAGTTGGTGCTTAAAATAATTATAATATTATATTTAGTAAATTATTGATTAATTTTGCAACTGTTAGCTAACTGAGTCAAAATGGATTAATTAATAAGTGATTTATATGTTGTGGTTGTTTAGGTCGATAAAATCGATATAATAATCGGTGAAAAAGTGGAGCCATGAGTCGTACATCTACTCCATCCCCAGATCTGCTAAATTGTGGTCACATTCATAGTGGAAGTGTTGGTAACCGCGATGACAGTTCTACTCGTTGGCACTTATTATTGATAACGATTGTCTCATTTGCCATTTACGTCAACTCTTTTGGATGTGGCTTTGCTTTTGACGATATGTCTGCCATTCGGGATAACAAAGATTTGAGACCACAAACTCCTTTATCGCAGCTTTTTGTTAATGACTTTTGGGGACAGGGAATGACAAAGGCATGTATGACTGTCTATATCTACTCTAAACTATTATATATTGAGTGTCCGGCTTATCAATCGATAGTTTAGCTTTTCTTGAGATTCTCTAATATTGTCATAGATTTGTCTGATTGAGTTGCAGTTGAATTGACTGTCAAAATGTATAATAAAGTGCTTCGAGTATAGCCTTTCCTTACCTTTAAGTTCTTCTAGATGTAGTATAAGTGCTGGAAGTGGTGGTCAAATCATAACAGATGGACAGATCTACTGATCGTTATATTGTCGTTATATTGCAAAACAAATTTAGCTTTTTATGGATGAATAGCTCTCTCTCTCTCTCTCTCTCTCTCTCTCTCTAAATAAGTCAAAAGACAAACTACAAGTTTATGTTGACTAATACACTATTATTCTATATAAGTGTTCAATTGTGGACTAGTCTGCAAAAAAGTCTCTTCTCATTGAGTTTGTAGAGATTGTGAGCAAATGAATGCCATCAGGCGATGCCAACCTTACTGTCCATTTGTTATCCTGAAAACCAAACAGTCAATGAATAAAAACAAGTACTGCTATAACATATAGTCACCCAAACCCTAAGTAAACACACAAAACACGATTTTAGATGAAAAAATGTTGCATTGTTTGGCTATATATTATTCTGAAAATCACTTCATTCAGTCAACCATTCATTGCTTTATCTAATGAATCAAAATATAATATATCTTTCTATAAAACAAAACATATTTAATGCATTCCTTCAAAACTAATGGTTTTTCTTATTTCTCTTTATTTTTAGGAACAGTCACATAAGGTATGGCAACCATTATATACCATTATATTTGTTATATTTTAGTATTTACATCTTATTATTTTATTTTATAGTCATATCGACCTCTCAGTGTCTTAACATTTCGTCTCAATTACATAATACATGAAATTGAACCAATGGGTTATCATATCATTAATGTTATTTTACATGTAATTGTTTGTCTTATATACAATCGGTAATATACTGTAGTTAATGTTTGTTATAATCGTAGAGCCATTGCATTGACTAATGCTTTTCAATTTAATCCTATAGATTATGTAATTTATTTATGCCATCAATTGCTGCTTTAATATCCACATTATCCTTCAGGTATAAAATATATTGATATTTTTCAGTTGGTTAACAAAATCAAACTTTATTAATAACTAATATTTTACTTTTATAGATATTATAATATTGTTTTGTTATACTGTATGTTAAAATATTGTTTGTTGGGTTTTTTATAGCGTACATCCCATTCATACCGAAGCTGTGACAAGTGTTGTGGGACGGGCTGAGACATTGTCATCAATTTTCTTCTTATTAGCATTTTTGGCATATGTCAGGGCAACTAAACATACAACCAAAACAGGTATCACTTTCTAATACATTGCTTTCCAACTATTATTCTCATTAATAAAATCTATTCATATGACATAAATTGCAATCAATTATTTAGAATAAATATGTTTTATAATAAATACAAATTTTATTTTCATTATATACTGTATATAAATATTGCACATGAATTATACAAATAATATACTATAATATATTTTTCTTTATGTTTTATTATACAATATTTATAATGTACTGTATATACAATTTTAATGGAAAAAGTTTTCTAACTTTGGATTGTCATGTCAAATAAATTTTAATCACAACAAAATAATGCAAATTTTAGATACCATTATATCTATATTATATTAACAGTATATACAATACATTACAGCCTATCTCTTAGGAGATTACTTTAAATGAATGTTTTTTTTGTTATATTTTATTTTTACTTTATTAGATGCAAACAAATCTTATAAAATATTTTTGAGTATCAATTGAACAAATGCTAAAAGCATTACAAAATATTGTAGTTCATCTGTACTTACTGTACAATATATTAAATACTATATATACTATATATACTGTATATATTTATATAGTTTATATAATTTAATATACACTGAATATCTTTTATATTTGAATAATTTTGTGTATTAAGATTACTTATACTGTAATATTAATAATGATATCTACACCAGCGGTTATTCATATAAATATGTTACATTGTTTATTTTTAATATATCCAAAAATTTATTTATAATACAAATTTAAATACTATATTATATATATACTAAGTTATAATCAGACTTTTCTTGCATTTTTGATTCAAAGATAATATTTTTTGACAAAATAGTTTGATTTATACTTAATTGAAGTTAGTTTCTTAATTCATATTTTATCCGACTTTTAATAAGTTATAAACTACACATAAAAACTGAAAATACAGATAAATTCTGGATATAATACATAGAATAGTGATGTAAATGACAAATAATAAGAGTTTATTTAAAAATGAATAAAAATATATTTGATAATTAATAGTACGTAACGTTGAATCAAATTTGTGAAAAACATCACTATTTGATTTTGATTTTGATTTTTACTGTTCCATACATTGTTAGAGATTTACTTTTCATTTCATGAATTATGACTTTTGCAAAGTTATGCACAAAAATAGCTTATTTGAAATTACATTAAATTGTTAGCCTTTTTCAAGCTGTTACCATCACTTTTGTTACTCACTTTTATTTTCTTCGTTTTTGTTACACTTTTATACATTTAAGTCATAGAGTTTTTATCATTAATTTTTTTTGCTATAAATCCCATACAGAGTGGATGTGGTTTTTGTTATCCATTACATTAGTCTCTATGGCGACCCTCTGTAAAGAGCAGGGAATTACAGGTAATGAAAGATATATACCATAAACCAAATAAAGATCACTTACTGACTACAAACTTCTTAATTAATTATCGAAATATACTGTATATATATAACACACTAATAAATGACAATCATTTGTATCCATAGCTATTGCTATATGCGGTGTCTATGAAGTATTCATCGTTCAAAAAGTAAGTATTGTATTAAAAAAACTTAATTAATTTAAAAACAGTATTTAAGTATATAATTATTGATTGATTGTGTTAATTGATTTATAGCTAAAACTTAGTAATTTGGTTTTTATTGCACAAAACTTAATCTTTTCAAAAGCATTGACTCCCTCGTGGCTCAGGGAGTCGTTTTTAAGACTATCGGTGTTGTTTGCAACCACTTGTATTATAATTATGACTCGACTTAGAATAATGGGATCACAATTGCCTGTCTTTACAAAGTAATTATTTAGAGTCTGTTTTTTGAATATATAGTAAACTGTATTATCTTTTTTAATGATAGGTTTGACAATCCTGCCGCTGCTGTGGATACACCTGTCCGTCAATTAACATATAATTTTTTGCTTGCAATGAATTCTTGGTTAATGTTATTTCCCAATGCCTTATGTTGTGACTGGACGATGGGTACTATTCCTCTCATTGAAACATACAGTGATATCCGTAATGTGGGGACAATTGTCTTTTATATGATATTTTGTATATTGGTTTGGAAAGCCTTTACATCCAGTCATAGACAGACAGCACAAGTACTGATCATTAGTTTGGCATTTATAGTGTTTCCTTTCCTGCCGGCGTCTAATCTCTTCTTTCCGGTTGGATTTGTGATCGCAGAGCGTATACTATATATGCCATCGTTTGGCTTTTGTATGCTCTTTGGTCTCGGATTTTACAGAATTTATCACAAATTATCTCAAGACTGTAGTAATGCTTTTATATCGATATCAATGACAGCAAAGAAACGACTTTTAGTTTGTACTCTTGTTTTCCTATTTGTTTGCCATTCAATCAAAACAATTGTCCGCAACTACGACTGGGAATCGGAATATACTATATTTATGGCCGGAATTAAAATCAATAAACAAAATGCTAAGCTATATAACAATGTGGGTCACGCTTTGGAGGCACACAATAAATATACCGAAGCGTTAAACTACTTTCTCGAAGCAGTTAGGGTACAGCCCGACGATATTGGCGCCCATATGAATGTTGGCCGCACTTATAATAATTTACATAAATATGAGTTATCGGAAAAGGCATTCAATAAGGCTAAGGATTTGTTACCTAAACCTCGACCCGGAGAGAGATATCAGGCGAGGATAGCGCCGTCACATTTGAATGTTTTCCTCAATTTAGCCAATTTGATTGCACGTAATAAATCACGTCTTCAAGAGGCCGATGCTTTATACAGACAAGCTATTAGTATGCGCGCCGACTATACTCAGGCTTATATTAATAGAGGAGATGTTTTGCTTAAATTAAACCGAACCCGTGAGGCACAGGAGGTCTATGAAAAAGCACTACAATTTGATTCGTCAAATCCCGATATCTATTATAATGTAAGTTAATTTTTAACTTTAAAAAATTTAATTTGAAAATGTTATTCAAAATTTTTGAATTGTATTCATCAACGATATAGTTAGGCGTTGTATTACTGGAACAGTCGAAAGCTACCCAAGCATTGGTTTACTTTAATAAAGCTCTTGAATTGAATCCACTGCACGAACAGTCACTCATGAATTCCGCAATTCTTATCCAAGAAAGTGGAAGCCATGAGTTACGCCCTTTAGCTCAACAAAGACTACAATTTCTTATAGAGAATGGAAAGGCCAACGAAAGGGTTTATTTCAATTTAGGAATGCTTTCGATGGACGCAAAAGATTATGCAAAAGCAGAGAAATGGTTCAGAGCTGCCATTCATTTGAAACATGACTTCAGAAGTGCGACATTTAATTTGGCTCTTTTGTTGTCTGACTCGAACCGACCTCTAGAAGCCGTGCCATTCCTTAAACAACTTCTTAAATATCATTCCAATCATATCAAAGGTCTTATACTTTTGGGTGATATTTATATAAATCATGTGAAAGATTTAGAAGCCGCTGAAGAGTGTTATAAACAAATTGTAAGACTGGATCCAAACAATATTCAGGGCAGACATAACTTATGTGTTGTTTATGTGGAACGGGAAGAATTGGAAAGAGCAGAGAACTGTTTACAAAGTGTATCCTCTTTAGCTCCAAATGAAGAGTACATTAGCAAACATTTACGAATTGTTAGAAACAGAGTAACAAAACTCAGAGAAAAACAAAACTATAATTCAAAAGAAGATTTGCTGTGATAGACATTGACTTAAATCTATATATTTTTGTTTCAATTGTAATAATATGAGAATCTATAAAAAAAACATGTATTTATCGATGAATTGATTGCAAAGGCAAATAGCCGTTGGCACTCATATTATAGAGTTTATTATAGATGTGATCATATTATAGATCTGACCGCTAAATCTCTCTCTCTCTCTCTCTCTCTCTCTCTCTCTCTCTCTCTCTCTCTCTCTCTCTCTCTCTCTCTCTCTCTCTCWCTCACTCACTCACTCACTCTTTCTCAATATTTTATTTCAGATTATAAGTAATGGTTATTTGTGATACTAATAGCACACAATTGATAATACTTTTGACGTGTTTTTAGCGTAATGCTATCATTCATATAATGAAATATTTGGACAAATAATCAACACTTAATCTATCGTTGATATTATATTTCATGCAAAACACTCAAAATCTTTACTTTTGCATTAATTAATTTATTTTTAAAAGTCAATTTATTAAAATAATGTCATAAATTGTACTTAAAATTAAACTTTACAACAATTATTAGGATTATTAATTATACATTTTATTTCATACAAACAAAAAATCGTTTATTAATTAAATTGTTATAAAATAAAACATTTTTATATACTATAATTATATAATGATTATTGAATCAAAATAACATCAAACATTGAGAGAGAGAGAGAGTATAAAATATTTAATGTATATAATTTATATTAAATTATAAACTTATTATGTAATACAATATGTACAGTATATTTATATTTACTGTACAGATTTGATTAAATTATAAAATCAATGTTATATTTCTTAAATCAATTAGACATTTTTTATAATTACAGCTACTATTTAGGAGTAATTTTTAATAAATACTGTATATTAATATTTGTATTTAAACTATTGTTGCTAATATTATATTTTTACATATTTATTGTTTATGAGCTTAATAATGATACAAATAAATAAATAAATATTATAATAAATAATTGATTTTAAATTATACTGAATTTATAATTTATAAAATATTTTATATAATGTTAAATTAAATATTATTATAAATATTGTATAAAATTTATTTTTATGTAAGTCTCTAAAGGGATTTCATAAAATAAACTCAAAGATGTATTGATTAGATTTATTTGATGAAATGCCCTCAAGTGCTCACTTTGTCCACAACACTGATCCCTATATCTCATAACTTATGTAAAGACTTTGCGACAATATTTTTATATAAAAATAAATATCATCTAAAAATTTGATGGAATCCTAACTTCAATAACAAAATCAATAATCAATTATATCGTTGAGAAATTAATATTTTATAACTTTTAAGATGTTATCTAATATTTTATATATATATTATGTAAGAGTAATGTATTTTCTCCACAGTAAATGATTTTAAAATCAAAACAAAATATTTCATAATAATTTTTTTTAAATATTAATTAAAATGTTTATAAATAATTTACTTTTACTTAATATATTATCAATCAATCAGTTGTTTATTACTCAATAGCTAATGCTATACCCATTTTGACTGTTAATTGCTAATATTGTTGATTTATTATTTCATAATTCCTTAATATAATTTTATACGAATTTAATGCAAATTATAATTAATTCAGAGCACAAAAAATTACAATATTTTACTGTATTAAAAGCAATCAATTTTTCAAAAGTTGTTATTTTATTTACTACCATAATATATGTCGACAGTAAACATGAGCTGCAATTCAATAGCATATATACAATATAGTCAATGATTTGTTTGACTGAGAAATAAGTGGAGTCAAAGTTCAGTTATGTGGAAATGAGATAACGGTTACAAAAAGGAGGTATAATATAGCATAATATGGTATAAAAATATTTTCTTATAATAATAATAAGATATATACACAAGTCTTACGGTTGTGTTGTTTGGACTCACAAATGCTATTATAATTTCTAAACCGTTACTTAAGAAAAATATGTTTTTATATATAGAATTTTGCTGTCATATAATGAAAGACAATGTTTCTAACATTTATTTACTACACATGTCTTCAAATCTCTATAACAATTTATTTTAATATATTGTTTGCTTTTGTTTGAACTAATAATAAATTTAAAACAAGAATAAGAGTCACTCGAATGTAAAATTTAAAAAAAATAATTTCAGTTAAATAACATTAATATATCAATAAGTTTCGTGTAATAACATTATGTTTATATATGTTTCAAACAAACTTAATCGGCTTAACCGTACTTATAAAGTATTATACTGTATATTATAAGGGAATAACCACAGAATAAATGCTTTGATTGCTATTAACTTTAAATAAAATTTAAGTCTTATTTTTATAACTAATATAATATAATCTATTACATAACTGGTGTATATTGATATTTGATTACAAATAAATTACAACATAATATTATTGTGTATGAGATTTAAATTCGCAAATTAAATTGTTTTATAAAAATATATATTTTAAAAAATTAAAATAGTTAATTTTTACATATCCAATTTAAATTAATAATTATAATAATAGTATTATTTTTATATATTAATGATTTTTAAAAATAATTAATATATTTATATAAATATATTAATACTTTTGCTATATTTTAGAAATACTTTTGTTATATTCGTAAATCAAACTTCCAGTCAATATGTGAGCATTTATTTCATTATATGATAGTATTCTTACTTTAGATAACTTTTGTTTTTATAAGCAAAAAGACAACAAATATTTTCTGAGAAACAGCTGTGAAAAGAGTGAACACACAATCAAATCATTTCAAATCACTGCACACACACACACACACATATATATATATATATACAAACATACATACACACATACACATACACATACACATACACATACACATACACATACACATACACATACACATACACATACACATACACATACACATACACATACACATACACATACACATACACATACACATACACATACACATACACATACACATACACATACACATACACATACACATACACATACACATACACATACACATACACATACACATACACATACACATACACATACACATACACATACACATACACATACACATACACATACACATACACATACACATACACATACACATACACATACACATACACATACACATACACATAAATATACACACATTTTATTTCAATTTTTATCTCATCTTTTTTTATTTCATACTTACTGACACTGAATATATGATAGACTAACTCAAATCTGGCAAAAATTTAGATTTACAACATTATATACAGTAGATTATGTGTCAAATCAAAATAGTTTTATTTATATGAAATTGATTCAAATAAATTTGAAATCGATTTTTCAAATTTCAACGCAAAATTTATTTTAGTTTTTAACAAAAAATATGTGAAAAGATTTGTTAATTTTGTCGCTAATTTTATTATTTGGACTAATTTTGGTATTTATAATAAATAAATATTATATTAGAAATAATTAATTTGTAAACTAATAATAAATAAATTAAAAATTTAATTAACATACAACTTATATTTGAATTATAGTTAAATTATAGTTAAATTTACATATAAATTTAAAACTAGATCATATAATTAATAATTTCATTATTTCACACAAAATATTAATAAAAAAAATTATTTTTATTTTAAATTTACATAAAATGTTGATAGCGTTAAAGATACCTAAGCTAAAATAATAATTATATATTGTATAATTAAAAAACAATATACATGTAGTTTAAATATTGTTCAAACTTACTAAAAAAAACTATTGGTTCAATAATTATTTAAAACTAATTTCTTTTAAATTTATATCACAATCAATATATTAATTTAATTTAAACAAACATTGTATTGTAATAGTATGTAATTAATACAATATATATAATATTAATGAGTTGTATATTTGCTAATTAAAGTTTATCCGATAAGTGATTCTTACAATTATTTATTTTTATGATATCTTAAGTTACAATTTCTTAATCATATAATTACTAAATATAATAATAAATATAATATTTAAATGATTTTTCGATTATTTCGGGTATAGGTTTGGGTTCGGTTCGACACAAATTCATTCTAATCTATTGTACTTTAAATAATCGTTTAGTTTATTATATAATATTGTATTAAATATATTATACTTTAAGTTTAGACACAATTAGAGACGTCTATTGATATGTTTGTCAATCAATGCATTTCATCACTTATACAACACTCGTGTTGTTGTTGTGTTTGTGACTATAAGTGACCATTGGATCCGATTCGGTGACCATTTATTATGATATGCTGACAAAAATGAAGAACATATCGGATAAGACAATGTGTTTGTATCGCCATTTGAATCAATGGTCTGATCTAAAAGTGTTTGAGTGGACAAATGGGTCGCCGATGTTTGGCCTCAATTCACATCAGATCCAAGTCATCAAAAGTCCCAACGATTTCTTCAATGAACTTAAAGTAAATTATTTTTTTAGATTTGTTGGCAACAAATTAAATGATATTTTATTTGTATTCAAAAGAGACTTTCAATGAAAAGTAAAAAACGGATAACACTGTCCTCACTATACATCGGAACGGGAGATATGGAAAGGGATTTGGTATTAGATTATGAAGAATATTGAATAGTTATGAGTCTTTCAAATACATTGTTTTCTATAGATATCTGGTATTGAATGCACTAAACAAAAGGAGTTGAGTCTTAAGGTGAATATATTGGTTGATTACAATCGGGCCACACGTTTGACTCGACCCGATGACCACAATTCTTCAACCAAAGCCATATTACAACCGCTGACCAAATTTGGAGCTCAAATCGGCTTTTATTTGACTCCAAATATGAGTGGTTGGAGAAAATGGTTTGTTTGGAGAAGAGAAAAGTGGAGTGAATTGCAATCTCTTCATCACATAAAGTGTTACATCTTTGACGATAATGTCATCATCAGTGGTGCAAATCTTAGTGATATTTATTTTACTAACAGACAGGACAGATATGTGTTATTTAAAGATTGTCCACAAATGGCCGACTATTTTGATGAATTGATTCAAACTATAAGTTCTTTTTCCTATCAATTACAAAGTGACGGCAACTTTGAACTTCACAAGAGTTGGCCATACAATCCGTTAAATTATTTTCAAAGAAATCAATTTAAAAGTGAAGCCAAAAACAGAATTGAAAAACTTAAGAATAGATTTAGAAATAAAATTAATTTAAATGATTTAAATGAATGCAAAACTATTGCCATTCCTTTAATTCAAATGAAGACATTAGATATTAGTGATGACCAATATTTTACATCAAAATTGTTATCAATTTGTGGATCCGATTCAGAAGTAGGACTCGCTTCCGGTTATTTTAATCTAACACAAGAATATAAACAAATTATTTTAAATCGAAATTGGTTTAAACCGTTGAAATTATTGATGGCCTCTGAGAGTGCCAACGGTTTCTTTGAAGGCAAAGGAGTGACCGCTTATATACCAAAAGTTTATACATTATTAACGAAAACATTTTTAAATGAGATTAAGGAAAACAAATGCAATGTTTATCTTAATGAGTATTCGCGACCCAAATGGTCATTCCATGCAAAAGGTTTATGGCTTGCATTAGATCCCATGATTTTCTTATCAATGATCGGTTCCCCTAATTTTGGCTATAGATCTGTATATCGAGACAGTGAAGCACAGGTTGTCGTCATTACTAAAGACGAACTTTTAAAACAAAAACTTGAAGACGAATACAATAGTTTATGGAAGTATTCATCGGTGGTCAACGACATGACTATCAAAAATAATTTAGTAAACGTTCCCATTTGGGTTAATATAGTGGTTAAACTTTTTAAGAGTTATTTTTGAATATAAATAAATACAATTATTTATTATTATTATTACAATGACATATGTTTTAAATAGAATTATGTAATATTTAGATTTTAGTTAAATAATAAAATATTTTAAATTTATTTTCTTCTTATACAGTATTTATTTGCGAAATATATTTTTAATATATAATATATCCATAGACTAACTGTTTTATTAAAAGGATCACAATTTATTGAATGATTTACACAATACATTGTAAAATTATCTAAAAGTTAGTATCAAATTAAGAAAATTGTTTTCTATTAAATTGAAATAGCCTTGAAAATGTAAATGTATTAATAAAAAAAGTTGATATTGTATAAGAATAAATTTGATAATATTAACAAAAATACTCTTAAAAATCTAAATTAAAAAATATATTTAATTCAATAATTCTCGTTATTAGGAATATAATGTAATTTTTAATAATGAATAAGTTGTTGCATATGACAAATGACAAATTATTATTCAATTAATACTATTTTATACAAACTTTTAAAACTAATTTTTAAAATATAGTGTTTGATCGAAAATTAACATTTTATTGATTTTAGTAATTTCTAAAATAGTATAATTGTTTATCATTATTATATTGTATAAATTAAGCAACATTATAAAAACATTTATACTTTAAAATAGTGTTTATTAATGTTTATCATTATTAAATATTTATAGATAAATTTAAAATTAATAAGTCTGAGAGGGAATATATATATTTCTATGATTATTGACTCTTTAAATTGAAGGGCTCTCTTGTTTACAACATTTTCAACAAATGGTAAGAATCGTTGGGTGTGGCATAAAAGCTAACGGAGCCATGTATTTACTCTTTTGTATAAACTGATCGTACAAATGCTATGCAGATGTCATACAATATGCTTATATACAATATACTGTATAAATTTACACACAATAATAATATATATTTTTAGATATACATAGAATATACTTTATTATACTGTATTGTATAATACTTTATATATATATATATAGTAAAACTTTTAGTTTTACATTTTAAAGCTTTAGTAGAAAAGGTTTGTCTCTTTTAATTATATTTCTAATTTGTATTTATAAATAAAAAAAATTAAGATATATTATATTTTGGTTTATTTAAATACTATTGATATGATGTTAGCACTGTTATAATAGCCAATCTCCATGTCCTAAGCCTCATCTCTCTGTCTCTCTTTCTGTAGTCTACCTCCCAGTGCTCTCTCACTTGTTGTCTATTTTAAAACCACTTAACATAACAACTAATGTTGATGTAGTGTAAATTTATAACAACTCACTGCAACTTTTTTCTATAATTTTCTTTATAATTTTGTTATCTCACAATTAATTTATGTTTAACTCATGTAATCAATTCATATGTCCCTCAATATAAAAGTTAATATCAAATATTGAATAATCTGTGAGAACATTGCCTTTAACTATCTTTTTCTTTTGCTTCCAGTTGTATCCAATCCAGACACTGATCAGTCATATTATTGATTATATATTATGTAAGTCTTAACAGTTATTTATATTAACTTTATTTTCTAATTGAATTTAATTCTTTAAAAAACAGTAAAATAAGTTTCATTATAAAAAAATAAATATCAGTTTAATAATAAAACATCAAAATGAGTGAAAATGAAGATAAATCTAAGGAAAAGGAGACGGGTTTTATTGGATCAATCAGACGACTTTCCCGTCGATTTTCAGGAACTCTTCTCAATGTGGACTCTAAGGCCGGACCACATATGGTTCACAGCGGAAGGAAAACCATATATTCATACGATGACGAAGAACAGCTCAGAATTGGTTTGTCAACTCATTTACTATTCATTTATTATATTATATATTATTTAAATTAAATATAAATTTTATCATTTTATTAGGTGGTGTGTCAGCTGAAGAACTTATAGAAAAATACGGTAAATATTTGTTTTTATATTTCTAATGTTTTTTATTTGAGTTCAAAGTTTGTGTTTTGACTATATTTAGCCAATATTTTACTTTATTATGATTTTATTTATTAAATTGTAAAAATGTTTATAATATAAAAAATATTAATAACTTAATTTTTATGATAGATTATTTAATAAATTTTAGTTATAATTGTTATTTTAATAAATTAAAATTAAAGGGACACCACTTTATGTCTATGATGTGAATCGTTTGACTGATAATTATAACGTTTATTTGGGTTCACTAAAGAGTATCAAAAATTTTATGCTTTGTTATGCCGTCAAAGTAAGTGTTAAAATAAATAAATAATTTATTTATTAATACAATAATACTAATCATTATTAATAATCATTTGAAGGCAAATCCAAATTTAGCGTTAATCGACATTTTTGCACGACTTGGCTGTGGGTTTGATGTTGTTTCCGGCGGAGAGCTATCCAGATGTTTGTCTGTTGGTGTCGACCCATCAAAGATAGTTTACAGCGGATGTGGTAAACAATCAGATGATTCAATTTATTTATATAATGTCTGGATTTTATTTGATTTGATTGACGTTTAGGTAAATCAATTGAGGAAATTGATTACGCGGTCAGATCTGAAATTCACTGCATTAATGTCGAGTCGTGGCTGGAGTTGGAGCGCATTGAGGACAGGGCTCGCACTCATAATAAGACACAAAACGTGTCGATCCGTATAAATCCTGACGTGAATCTCGAAGGTATTCAATAAAATGCTATTTATATATCAAATATAAACTTTACAAAGATTTTGTTTATTTTTACTCTTATTTTTTAATATATATTTTGTTATCTAATTTTATTTTAATGACTACAAAGTTAAGTTTTAGATACAAAGTTAAGCTCTTAAATGAAATATAACATGAATTACTTTCATTCATTAGTAGATTGAATTTTATTGCCAAAAAATCAATTTAATATTATCAAAACAATTAAAACATTAATTTTTTATATTAAGCAAACATTAAAATTTTAATTAGAAATTTAGAATTCAATATATAATATTGAAAATATAAACTTAAATTATTATAATAAATAATATTAAATATTAAATTATTATAGTATTACAGTATTAGGTTTAGGTTATGAAATTATATTATTGACGGTAATTGTACTTCAGTTACTTATATTGCTACTGATTATATAATTAAAATATATTACTGAGAATATTAATTTAGTTTATTAGTATATTAAATTGCTATAATTTAAATTAAGATATTTAAATATGTTGTAGACTAATTTGTAGTATTATATTATATAATATATTTTTATAATTTTTATATATTCATAATTTAAAAATAAATTGCATGATTATTACTATTATTATTAATAAAAACAATTGATAGGCCATTCGCACCCAAATATATTAACAGGTTCTTCACATCACAAATTCGGAGTTCCCATTCACGAAGCGCCGGAAATATTCAATAGAGCCAAAGCATCGGCTCATTTGAAAGTAAAGGGAATATCATGTCATTTAGGGTCAGGTATTCATCAATTGGAGCCATTTATCGAAGCGCGAGACAAACTGTTGAGTTTGGCCGATGAGTTGAGACAAGAAAACCGTATTTGGATCGAACACATCAATCTCGGCGGTGGGTTTGCCGCACAAATAGCCACTAATCTCAATGTTCCTGACATTCCCGGATGGGTTGAAAAACTAGCCAAACCTATCACTGATAGGGGACTTAAATTAGTCCTCGAACCGGGACGCAGTCTTATGGCTGACGCGGGATTACTATTGACCAAAATAGAGTACGTCAAGAGGTTTGGGTCGTGCGGTTCTGGTACCAGTTCTCCGCGTTCAGGATCATTGGCCGGTCCACCGACAACACCGACATCTAAAACACCGATAGCTCCCAAAGCATTTGTTATAGTGGACACCGGATTCAATGATTTTGCGAGAACTGCACTCTATGGACAACAACACAAATTAATACCGACCAATGCTAAGGTTGATAATCTTCCAGGTCTTCCAATGGACTATAAGTACGACATCGTTGGACCAATTTGTGAGTCAACCGATATATTCTTCAAAGATTTAATTTTGTCACAAAAATTGGAACCCAATTCTGCACTTGCAATCTGTGATGTCGGTGCTTATGGTATAAGTTTATGACTATTTTATATGAATATTATATTATTTTTGTTTATAATATTTAATTTGATTACAGGAATGTCAATGTCCAGCAATTATAATTCACGGAACCGACCGGCAGAAGTGCTCATATCTGATGGTCCGACCCATACATTAATTAGAGAAAGAGAGAGCTATGAGGAACAGTACGCTAAAGAAAGGATTGCCACTGATATCAATCTAAGAGCCCTTGAAATGCTTGAAGAGTTTGCCAGTCGTGAAGATTTGGCACAAAATGATGAACAGAATGGCAGTCAATAAATTATTTTTCAGATTAACTGTATTTGAATTTTCCAAATCTTTTTTTAAATTTTATTTTGTGCTCAAAAATTAGTTTATATTTTATATTAGTTTAAATTTAAGTAATATTTGGAATATATTATATATAAATTATATATATATATATATATATATATCATATGAAATTATTAAAATACATAATATAAATAAAGTACAACAAAAGTCTACAAATATTTACTATAAATTTAATATATATTGAAATTCATTATGTATTAAATAATTGAATACTGGTTGTGAAATTCATATAAATACATATATTCTGAATATTTACCGTAAATAATATAAGTGTTATTAATTAAAGTTTGTAAAGATTATCATATGTAACATAAAAATATTAATAAAATAAAATTTACATTAAATACCTGTACTATCACATAGTATATTAATTTAATGATGAATTTAAATACAAATAAATTAAAAAAGAAACAAAAGTTAAATACAGTATATTTGTTAATTAATGTTACTTTTAAACCACAATTTGCATCTCTAGGATACTATTTTAAAAATATTTTATTAAATTTTTCAATAAATATTTATCATTTAAATTAATTATTTACTTAACTATAATTTAAATTATATTTGTTTCATATAATTCTTAAATATTATCATTAAAATGCATTTCTATAGACTGTAGAGTCTATACTATAGAGTAATACTGTAATAGTCATAGTGTTAAACAATATATCGATTGAATGTCACGTTATTTGTGTAAATGTTTGCCATTTAAAGCATCGTTTGATTGCTTTCTATAACAACATTGCAATCAAACGACAATTGAATTGCAATTTAAATCTTAAAAATCAATTCATTTAGTGATTAAAAATATCATTGAATTGTCGGTCAAATCGATAGTTGGGATCAATTGGTAAGCGATGGGAGTTCCGGCATTCTTCAGATGGTTGTCAAAGAAATATCCATCGATTGTTGTCGAGTGTGACGATGCTGTTCGTGGAAATGCCTACTTTGATAACCTATACCTCGACATGAATGGTATAATCCATCCCTGTTCACATCCAGAGTATAAGGCAGCTCCAGAAACGGAAGAAGACATGTTTTTGGCTATATTTGAATACATTGAAAACATCATGAAGATTGTCAAACCCAAGAAGTTATTGTATATGGCAGTGGATGGATGTGCTCCCAGAGCTAAAATGAATCAACAAAGAAGTCGCAGATTTCGCGCATCGCAAGAGTCCATCGAAAAGCTTTTGGAGATTCAAAAGATTAAACAAGAGTTGAGAGACAGAGGTATTGAAGTGAAAGATAAGCCCAAAGAGGCTCACTTTGACTCAAATGTCATAACACCCGGCACTCAATTCATGATTAACTTAAGCCATGCATTGAGACAATGGATTGACGAGAAGCTGAGCTCTGATAATGAAGATAAAGACGGCATTTGGCCTAAAGATTTAATTGTTATTCTTAGCGATGCATCGGTTCCAGGAGAAGGAGAACACAAAATCATGGAATATATCCGAAAACAAAAGGCACAGACGGAGTCTTATAATCCTAATCTATCGCATTGTCTATACGGTGCAGACGCCGACCTCATTATGTTAGGTCTGGCCACTCATGAACTCAATTTTACTATTTTAAGAGAAGAGTTCAAACCAAACCAACCGCGACCGTGCGATCTTTGCGGTCAATTGGGTCACGACATGAAAGAATGTATGGGAACTGAACGACCATTAGATGAAGAGCCGTCTTTAGTACCGACGGAACCCGAATTTATATACATTCGTCTCTGTGTTTTACGGGAATACTTGGAAAAGGAGTGCTCGACAGCTGCCGTTCACTTGGATTTCGAGCGATTTATTGATGACTTTGTTTTCTTATGCTTTTTTGTCGGAAACGATTTTTTGCCTCATTTGCCATCACTTGAAATCAGAGAGAATGCAATCGATCGACTCATTAGTATTTACAAAGATATAGCCGTTAAATATCCCGATCCTAACCCTTACTTAACTAAAGATGGCACCGTTCGTATGGAAAGAGTTCAATATGTTCTTCAAGAATTAGGAGAAGTTGAAGACGAAATCTTTAAGCAAAGACAAGATAATGAGATTCGTTTTAAAGAACGCCGAAAGCGTCAGAAACTTCAACAACAGCGACAACAAGGTTTTGATTCGCAATGGATGAGACCCGAGGCTGTAGTTCGCGGACAGAGGCCTCAAGTTTTTGATAACACTCGCGATGAGGCTTTTAAGTTAAGAGCTACTACTTGTGTCGACAATTTAAGTGCCGCACAAAAGCTCAAAGCAATGCTTAAAGACGGTCCATCAGATCAACAAAACAATGGCTCAAATGTTGATACTTCTCAAAACAACAAAAGAAAAAGTGATGTTTTGAATGACGAAGACTCAGAACCTGAAGATTTGGTTCAACTGTATAACGAAGGCTGGAAAGAGAGATATTATTTGCATAAATTTGATTGCAGTTCATCTGACATCACTGAAGTTAGTTCAATGGTTGCCAGAGAGTATGTCATAGGTTTGTGTTGGGTTTTGATGTACTATTATCAGGGATGTTGTGATTGGAAATGGTTTTATCCATTTCATTACGCGCCGTTTGCCAGCGATTGCAAGAATATCACAGAAATTGAAATTAAATTTGACCGCAAAAGTAGACCATTTAGACCATTGGAACAACTGATGAGTGTATTTCCGGCCGCATCCTCACAGAATCTACCGCCGTCTTGGAGGGCACTTATGACTGCTTCCAATTCATCCATAATAGACTTCTATCCAAATACATTCAAAATCGATTTGAATGGCAAGAAGGCTGCGTGGATGGGCGTCGCTCTCTTACCATTTATCGATGAAGAACGACTCTTCAGTGCACTCACTAATGTGTACAATAACTTGACTGAAGACGAGATTATACGTAATTCTAGAGGAAGTCATCTTATATTTGTTTCCAAAATTGAATCAGATTTTTCTGATTTTGCTAAAGAAGTAGTAAATTCTCCCGCAATGACAGAAGTTTGCATAAATTCCGATGTATTTAGAGGTATATCAGGAACTCTATGTAAGAGCGAAAAGTATTCTTCGGTCTATAAGAGAGTATTTTGCGCTGTCTTTGAGGACCCGGTCTATGACTCGGACTTTATTTTTCCGGCCCTTCGTCTGCCAAACGCAAAGGCTCCACAAATCGTTCTTAAACCGGAAGACTTAGAAAAGTTAGACCGATATAATTGGAGACCAACTATTGGTATGAAACCTCACTATCAAAAGGCATCCATTAGTGAAGCGGGAATGAGAATGTTTGGCCATTCTTACCGAACACAAGATAATCAAAATCCGTACTCTAATAACCGAGAATACAATAGAGACCGAAATGCCAATTATGGACAATACAATAATCCATATAATAGACAACATCTGACCAGAGATTCGGTTCCTCAGCAGTACAATAGTTATTATAAACCACCGAATTCTTACTCGAGTAATCACTTCCAACCGGTTGATAGCAGTTATCAATCGAGAAGATATCAGTCAAATCAACAGACACAGAGTTCTTCTTCAAGTAATTATAGAAATGATCGCCAAAGCTATGGACGTAATCCAGATCATCGCTCAGCGAGTAATACAAATAGTTACCAAAATAGTGGTAATCGAAATCAAAGAAGTGATTATCAAAGCGATCAACAATACGGCTATTTGTCGACCAATTTCAACCCATCGACTCAAAACTATTATCAAACCAGTGATCGAAATGATAACAGAAATTCAAGACAACATCCGTATGACATTAACCAGAGATCTTCAAATAGACAACAACCGTATTACGGAACTAATTCACAGCAAAGACCAAATCAGAGAAGTGATCCATGGAATAGACACCAATGATTTTCATTTGTCAATTTAATCATGAATTGATTGCAAATTTTAATTTAATGCATATGTTATATACACAAGTCTATTGTATATAAATACACTAAAATTTTATTTATTTTTTATGAAATTTAATAAATAAAATATTTGAATGATTTGTTTGAATTGGATTACTTAATATAAGATATTAATGACAAAAAAGTTTATATTTATATATAATGAAGGCTTAAACTTTTTGTATAAATAATATTATGAATAGTTAAGTTAGTTTAACATTAATTTTAATATGAGTGCAGATATGATAGTTGAGGGAGAGGTCATATTATTTAAATATTTATAATAATAGTTATATTTATTAAAAATTTGTGTCAATGTATTACAAAGTAAAAATGTAATCAATTATAAAAATTTGATAATTAAACACAATTTTTTAAAAATTAATAAAAGTATTTATAATTTGAAATATTAGCGCAAATGCTTTGTTAACCAATGAGAGCATTGATATGAATGTCAAGCATTGACTGCAAAAGCATTGCATTTGTTTTGCAGGGATTGTCAACACATGTGATACAAAAATGTCCAAAAAGTTATTGGATTTAATCGATGAAAGTGATGAAGACATCAATCATTTGAACACTCAATCAGATTATGCAAAGAACTATGATATTTGGCGAAGAAGAGAGGAGATCCAGCGATTAAAAAACAAATACGGAATTAATTTAGACATTCAGTCGGATTGTGAACCATCAGATGATGACAATGGATCAGATGTACAATCACTTGATGACAGTGACGAAAGTGATGAAATTGGCGAATCAGATGAGGCGGTCGGTGTCTTTGACAAAGACTTCTTGAAAATATATTCAGCGCTCAAAAGTAAAAATCCTATCATTTATGATAAAAATGCAAAATTTTTTGCAGAAACTAATGAGTTGTTGAAGACATCCGATGACAATGAAGGAGAAGAAGAAGTCAAAGAAAAGTCAATGACATTAAAGGATTATCACTTAAAATTAATTAAAGAAAAGAAAGGCATTACAGATGAAGACTTAGAAAATACTGTCTCACTTACAGATCAACCAATAGGTTATTATGAAGAGTTGAATGAAATTAAAAATGAATTTAAAGACATTATTAACGCCGTCGATGACTCTGAAGAACAACTTCTTAAAGGAAAACAAAATGTTACTAAAAATATAGTAAAAGATAATACTTTAGATTTTTTAAATGAAGAAATTTCTAATGAAAATGATTCAGATCTTCAATATCTAAAGAAATATTGGAAAAATGATAATCATTTGGAAGAACCCGAAAAGTTTTTAAGAGATTATATAATAAACAAGAGTTATGTCGATAATGTTAATAATAATGCAAAAATGTTGACATCTAAAGCACAGATCAGTTTTGGTGATAATGGAGAAGATGTTGAAATAAGTAATGGATTGATTACAATGGATGACATAAATAAAGAAAAAGCTTCTGTCAGTGATATAACTATTAGTAAATATCATTTTGAAGAACCAGACGCTGTTGTCATCAAACGTTATCCGAGAAATATTGAAACGATTCGCGACACCACTAAGGATGAGAAGAGAGCCATTAAAAGGACTGAAACTAAAGAAAGAAAGAAAAAAGAGAAGGAAAGAGAATTGAAAAGATTAAGGAAATTAAAGAGAGAATCTCTTAGAGAAAGATTTTCAAAGGTTCAACAAATCAGTGGAAACCATACAATCGATTTCAATGATTTGGATTTAAATCAATTATTGGACGACGAAAATGATTTTAATCCAGAAAAATATGATCAAAAAATGATGGCTTTGTTTGGCGATAATTATTATGATGACAATCAGTCCACGGGTGAGAGTAAACCAAAATTTGAGTACATGTCTGAAATTGATGACAACAACAATGTTGATAACGAAGACTACGATGACTACGACTCTTATGAAGATAATAATAATAATGTGAATCATAATGAAGAGGAATTAATGGTAAATTTGAATAATTTATTTTATATCATACAGTATATAGTAATCAGTTTTTTAAAATTTAGTTTAAAAGTAATCCAAAAATTAAGAAAAAATTGGAGAAAAAGCAAAAAAAGATAAATAAAAATTTAGACGAAATTGGTATTTATGACGATTTAATTGGTGGTGATTTGCCGACACATTTCAGATATAGAAAAGTTAAGTCCAATGATTTTGGTCTGACTGATGAAGAAATCTTATTTTCTGACGACAAAGAACTTAATAAATGGTGTTCATTGAAGAAGATGTCGCAGTTTAGAGAAGACAACGAAGAGGTTTATGACATGAAGTCATTCTCAAAGAAAGCATCGAATATTAAACTTAAACAAAAAGTGTTGAAAAGCTTTTACGAAAGGAATAATAAAATTGAAAATCCATTTACTGAAGAAAATCTTAAAACTAATGAAGACTTTAGTAGTCGTCAAACAAACGACAATCACAGCCAAGACTTTTCCGGTATAAAAAAGAAAAGAAAGAGAAAGAAGAAATCTAATACTTTTATTGTTACCGAAGTAAACAATCAACAAAATACTGATCAAAGTCTTGTCTCTATCTCTCAACATAATAATAATAATAATAATAATAACATAACTAATAGTAATAATAGTAATGACAAAAGTTGTGTTAATAATGTTAATAAAAATAAAAGAAACCGAAAACGCAAACGAAAAGAATCCAATGAAACTGAAACCAAATATTTAGGGATTAGTGTTGATAGGCTTAAGGCTTATGGATTAAGTAACAGAAATATTAAGAAAATACATCATAAAAATAAATAAATTTTAATTAACTCTAAGCTAAACTGTTTTTTAAATAAATCATTTATTGCTATTTTCAATTTTATTGTTGTTTCAAATAAATTAAAATCATTTAAATATGAATTAATAGTTAATTTTATGAAATAAATGCGGGATTAATGACTCCGATTTCTGATCTGATGTTAAGAGTGGGAGCACTGCTATTGACATAATAGTCATTTGGTTTGTTGTGGACGTTATAGTTGACGGTAAGTGCAGAATGTATTTCTGCATTTTGTCGCCAAAGTTTTGTTGGTCTCAAACAGATCTTTAAATTGTGTTTTATATCTTTAGATAAAAATACATTAATGATATGTAGTACTGCACCAAACGGTATGGATACTAATGATATGATGACAACACCCCAACCCAACCATTGAGCCCAAGAAGGATAGACATATTTGCCATAAGTGATGGTTTCCGTATCAAATAGCAGACTATAAACGTCTTTGAATAAAATTATTGAGATAACAATAGGGGCACCGGTGCTGATCATAACAACGATGTGAGATCTCATTAACGTCGATGGCTTCCAACCCGTCATATATCGTAAATCGGCGAAGAAATTAGATATTCCTTTGATATTAATTATTATATAAGTTATAAAATTTACTTAAACTTTAATTACAAACCATAAATATAGGTAACAATAAATATTTCTAAAAGTCCGACAACAAGACAAGGAATACCGGCAGCGTATGTGTCCATCAAAGTCAACAAATAAATGCCAGCATTTGTGCAAAAAGGAAGACCACATATAAACCATAAGACACCAGAAATGCTAACTATTAACGGCTTATTTAACTTTTGTTTGGAATTTCTCTGTAATTACCATTAAATTTAATTAATACGAGTCTTCAATTGAATAAATATAATCTAACCATTAAATCAAATATATAAGTTGTGACCGTCTCAACCATTGCAAACTGGGAATCAATGCCTAAAAGAAATAACATCGCAAAGAACATCATCGACCAGACCATTGATAGTGGCATTTGAGACAATCCTTCGGGTATTACTATAAATGCTAAACCTATTTATATATTTTAATAAAATATATCATTTTTAATTATAAAAGAATATATTTGATTGTATAACTATTGCAAACCTACCTGTGCCGCTTTGGACAATATCATCGACCGGTTTATTCAATGTATGTGCCATATATCCAATCATTGCAAAAACAACTGATCCACAAAATATTGATGTCAAAAAATCTCCGATTCCAACCAAAAGTGAATGTCTTACCTGTTTTAACATTTAAATCATTAAAAATTATATCAAAAATACGTCAAATAACAGACCACAGGATCGTTAAATCTATTATAAGAGGCGTATGTAATCATTCCTCCGCCTCCGATACCAAAACTATAAAACACTTGAACAGCCGCATCCCTCCAAACTACCGGATCTTTAACTCGCGTCCAATCGGGAGTAACAAAATAACGTAAACCTAAAAATAATTATAATTTTATTATTATATTATAAATATGTATATAAAGTTATTTATTTTAATAATAATTTCACTTTAATACCATCAATAGCTCCGTCAAGAGTTATGCCTCTTATAAACAATATTACAAGAATAACATACGGAAAGGTTGCCGTAAAATAAACTACTTTTCCTATATATTATAAGATATAAAATGTATAAATCAATAATTAAATATAAATTTATTTTTGTTTTTTGTTGAATAAACCGGAAGATTTAATTCCTTTGATAAGAGCTGCCACTACTATAATCCAAGAGACTAACAGTGCGCCCACTAAACGCCAATTCATTTTATCCATTACTTCCAAGCCATCAGATTTGATTAAAACAAAATTACTTTGAAATCATAAAAAATTATTGAAAATATATTCATAACTTTTGATTAATTCAATATTTACTTGAAGTACTCTTCGGTTGATGAGACGGAATGATTGGTGAAATTGTTTTTATCATTAATTGTCTTACAATCTATTTTTATTAGTCATTTAGTGATATTTTTATTTGAATTACAAATTGTTTATAAATTATAGTAAATAACTAAAAATGACTGAACTCTCTGAATTGAAGTCATGTCCGCAATGTTGCCAATTCTGGCCAAAGAAAGATCCGACAAAATAGAAGAGCGTCCACGAGATTATCAGATTGTAATAAACGGCTACAATAGTTGAGCTTATTATTGATGTCATACCCAAACCTTCAATATTTTAATTAACATATCATTTATCTACAAAATCTATATATCTTTACATAATATTCAACTTATTTTTAATTAATAATTTTTTTAAATATATTATTAACTATTTATATTTAATGTTTTAATATAATGGCAAATTGTTTACCTTTAAAAAGAGGTGACAAATTGGCATATAAATGAGCTGGACCCATTGATGAATATTGACCTAAACTGAGCTCAATTAGGAAAAGTGGTAATCCAATGATAAATGAGCAAATTATATATGGTATGAGAAATGCACCTGTTTATTTTAATATATATTCATACAATTAATTGATACTATTAATTAATAAATTACATTATAATAAATATAAATAAATTTATTTAGTAACTAATACCACTTACCCCCACCGTTTTTGTAACAAAAATATGGAAATCTCCAACACTTTAATAAATTTGAATTTTATATAATCATTAATATCTGTCATATTATATGACAACAATATAACACATTTAGTAAATTATACATACATTTCCCAATCCGACGGCATTTCCCAAACAGGCCAACAGAAACTCAGTTTGTCCGCCCCATTGGTCCCGGTTTTCCTGTTTATTCACTGATTTATTGTTTGTTTTATCATTGGCTACATTTCCATCTCTTGTTGTCATCTCATAGTTATTTAAATTATTATCATTCAAACTTAAAGTAGTTGTCATTACTTATTAATTAAAATTTTTAAAAAACTTGCTAATTTTTAAACTTTAAATTTTAATCAATTTTTAAACCACATTTACATTAATTATAAACTATGAAAATTACTTAAAATAGAAATACAAAATTAATTATTTAATAAGTTTAACAAATATTAATAAATTGTTTGACATTTAATACAAATATTCTTATATAACAACTACTCTTTGAAGAGCTGTTGCTATGATTTGATGTTTTCTGACAACAATTCTTAAACAACTAATTCAATAAAACTTATTGTGAACTTCGGAATTATACACAAAACACCTATTATTTAGTCTTTTTTGGACATAATTTGCATAAAATTAGTTAATATTTGAGTTATAGATTATATTGCAAACAATCCTATAATAAGTAATATTGATTTAATAATAATATCACCAAATAGTTGACAATAGATTGTATAAAATCCTTGACACAAACTGCATATACAAACAAAACTTTTTTTTGCTAATTATTGAGTTTTAGACAATTCAATTGCAGCTGCATTTACAGTAAACAGATTGATACTTATCTGAACTAATATTATTTATATATTATTCCGGATAATATTTATGACTTAATTCAAATAGAATAACATAATAATATTATAGACAATTTTTATATATAAATTATATAATTAAATACTACATCAAAAATTATTATTTAAAAAGTTAACTTTTTATTTAAATAGTACAGGTTGATTTTAATATAATGAAAAAATAAATAATACTATTATAAAATGCAAATACAATATTTAGAAATTTGTATCACAAAATTTTTTTTTATTTGATTGACGACACAAAACTAATATGTATTTTCATTGAATTCCAGTTCTCTCTATTCGTGCAAATCGTTGTTTTGAAACACACACTAAAAGTCACGGATTTCTAGTTTTTCCTTCAAATGTATCTATAAATTGGTATAAACTGTACTATAAATTATTGTATTATAAACTAAATAAAACATTGTGTATTAAATATATTTTATTAATTTATTTATTTGTTTATTATAGTTTTTTATTAATAAGATTATTAATGGTGCACTTAATGTCTAATAGACAATTATATTTTAAATTGTTTTCTTAAACAGATTAGATAATTGATATAATAAAGAAATATTAATCTTAATTAACAATAATCATTATTTATTATTACATTTGTTAGAAAACATGACATAAAATCAAAATAATAGATTTTGTGGATAAAACACAGATTATATACCATATGATAAATTAACACAAAATATTGTCAAAACAATAATTACTTTTCTATTGCTTTATATAAAATTTGCGAAATAATTATATTTCACATTTTGAAGTTAATTAATGTGGAAATATGTTTTTAGGCTATGTATAGATTTAATATAAAAACAAAGATTTAAAATTATTTTTTAAAATTTATTAATTATTTTAGTATCTATCTATGAATTTTTGTAATTATTAAAACTAAATTTAATTAATGACTTTAACTTACTTTTAAATTAGATATAAAAATGTTTAAATTTAAATAATTTTAACAGATAAAATTTATAACAAATATATAAATAAAATTATTTATTCAATTTTTATCTTAATAAAGTAATTGTTGTTTCAAAATAATAGATCAAATATTTAATCATTTAATTAAATTCTAACATTAATTATAATAATTTTTTTATTTTATGTAATTTTATAAAAGAATTTTTTATTTAGTAAATATTATTATTTGTTATTATAAAAATTATTATGATATCATTTTTTAACAATAATTCATTTAGTTTTAATTCAATTATTAAAATTTTTTATAAGTTTAAAAATAATTAATAAAGATATTGAAAAAATTTGCATAAATTTTAACTTATCTTATTATTATTTGAAGTACGAATATTTCCAATTTTAAATGTTAATCAGTGACAAAAATAATTAAAAATAAAATATAATAAATTAACAAATTATATTCAATGCTAATTGTAAAATATTATAATTAAGTAAGTAATTATGTGTTTATATTGCGTGAATTCACTGAATTACTTAATGACTTACTATTTATAATTTGCTTTAAATTATTATATTAAATATATATTTTTTTATTTATTTAAATCAAGGATTTTATTATAATTGTTAAATATTTTTAAAAAATAAAGATTTTAAAAATTAATAAACTAAAAATTATGGTGAATTGTCAAATTATTGAATAAAATAAAATTATTGATATAAATATATAATATATAATTTCTTGTTAATAAATATAACATTGATTTTGTTATTTTAACGCTTCATTGAAGTCCTTGTTTTTCATAACACTGCAAACAACCGGACAAAGCATACAACCAAACGGTTTATATTTTAATAGACTTCAAGACTATTATCACTTAATTTTACTGTATATTAATTTAATTATAATTAATGTCATGTTATTTTGGTTATATTATATAATGTTAATAAATAAAATTAATTTAAAATGCAAAATTATCGTTTATTATTATAGTCAATATTTTATAAATATACTGTAAATTGCTATAAATTATAAATATTAATACAAATATGGTTTATCTTACATAAGTATCTTTAAAATTCTTTGGTTTATTTTGTTTATTGTTTTATATCTATTTAATTATTAAATAAAAATCATTTTAAATATATTTTGATTTTGGTAATTATTAAAACTTAAATTTGTGTTATTATAATATTATTTAATCTTACAAATATCTATAATTAATATTTTATGTAAATTAAGATAATTTAAATATTAATAACTTCATAAAACAATAATATACTGACAGCACTGCTAAAAATTTTAAAATTTTTATTTTATTTTTAATTTAGTCATATATTAATATATAATGAATAAATATTAATAACCTAAAAATGTTAAATTAATTAACAATTAAATCAAACAATTAACAAATTAAATTAAACAACAGTTTATCTTTTTTGTTGTTCAATAAGACTTGTAATTCACAAAAAAAATATTTTTTACATATTTTAGATAACATTTATATTTAATATTATTTAATAGATATTGCATTTTATGACACTTTTTTATATAACTTTATTGGAATCAAATAAGTTTACAAATATACTGTATATTATTTATATTAAATTAATCAGTATTAATCAGGGTGTTAAAAATGGCAGACATAAAGAATAGATGCCAATTTTGCCAATTTTGCCAATTTTGCCAATTTTGCCAATTTTGCCAATTTTGCCAATTTTGCCAATTTTGCCAATTTTGCCAATTTTGCCAATTTTGCCAAATGCCTGCTCTGTCTCTGTCATGCTCTGGGCATCTATTATCAGGTGGTGRTACATATTATTTTAATTTTATATTATTAATTAATTTATAAAACATTGTTTTATCAATATATTTATTTGTATTTGTGTTTTGTATACCTTTAATTAAAAGGTAATATCCTTGGAAATAAGTATATTAATTGTAAATTTAATTAACACGCTAAAAACACTAAATTACATTATTTTTATATATACAGTTGCTTTTTAGCAATTTAAAATGGCAGGCAAATAAAATAGATACCCAAAATGCCAGGCATTTATGGCATCTACATGATTTTTGTATTTGGGCATTGCCAGGGCAGGCATTTATTTTCTTAAAGCCCTGGTATTAATTAATTAAAATTATAATAATTTAGTTTTTAATGAATATAATAATACTACCAATTATTACACTATTTATTATACTTTTAGATTTTAGAATAACTAATGAATCATTAGTAATGATATTTCATATGATATTAATACAGTATAACTATAAACACAATGTTTACTTTACTAATAATATATTTATTAAATTCAAAATTTTCATATTCATTACTTTACTAATTGTCTTAACTTATAATTACAATGACTTTACAAATGTTATACTTATATATTTATATAGTAAATAACTTATAATAATAATTAATTCATTGATCATATTATATAGTATATAAACTAAATTTATTATTATAAATAATTATAAATTAATAAATTATTTTAAATTATTTGAACTTTATTAATGTAATGATAGTATAATTAAATTATGTAGTTAATTAAAACTATATTACTACTAATATAAATATTAAAATTAACATAATAAAATTTTGTAATTATATAATATCGATAAAATATAAAAAATATTTATTTTAAAAAATACATTATTTCTTTGGTTGATTTTGTTTAAGACCCAGTATTTTACAGGTTTGGTCTCTCATCTCAAACTTTTTAGCCTTTCCTGTCGGTGTCATTGGAAATCCATCAACAAATAGCACATATCGGGGAACTTTAAAATAGGATATCTATTTAAGAAAAATTATTTCGTTAATAAATACAATAATATCTAATAATTTGTGTGATATTTACTCTTTGTTTACAAAATTCTCGTATTTCCTGTTCAGTAATTTTTTCGTTTTTATTCTTAAGCTGAACCCAAGCGCACACTTCTTCACCACTTCTCTCATCAGGAACTCCAACAACCTATGAATTAAAATATTAATTGATATAAATGTGTAAATATATAAATATATAAATATATAAATGTTTTGTTATAATTATTAATAGTTATCACATAAGCATCAAATACTGCCGGATGTGTGTGCAGTAATTCCTCGACTTCTCGGGGATATATGTTTTCACCGCCTCTTATGATTAACTCCTTAGTTCGGCCCACAATTTTGATGTATCCGTATTGATCCATAGTTGCTAAATCACTATATTATTTATATTGTTATAATTAAAATATAAATGACTTTTTCATATAGCGATTCATACCCTGAATGATACCATTTTCCCTCATCAATGGCTTCCCGTGTCTTAACCTCATCCTTCCAATAACCAATCATAACGTTATGTCCTCGCGATAATAGTTCACCTAAAATATGATCAAAAGTGTCACTTAACGGATCAGTTAAAATAGTAAGACTATACCTTGTTCACCAATTTTGGTGATCTGTCCGGTCGCGGGATTTACTATTTTAACTTCAACTAAATCTAAAGGACTTCCTATACAATTATTATTATTTACAATAAATTTAATTATTGTCAATTTGTTAAATGTAAAATTTTTAATTGCAATATACAAACCCACTGTTTCCATACGGTTATTAAATGTGTCATTTTTATGACAAGCTGTAGTACACGGACCTTATATTAGTGAAAATGAAATTAATTTATAATTATTGAGTATTTATTGGTATAAAAATTAAATCCTATACCGAGTTCAGTAGCGCCATAACCAATTCGGATGTCATCCACTGATGGTATAACACGACTTATATTATGTGCCACTTCTACGGGAACGGGTGCGCCTCCGATCAATGTTCCCTTTAATGATGGGATTTGCAATTTATTTGTTTCCACATAATTTAATATATCAATAATTTGTGTGGGCGTTACAATAATATGAGTGCATTCGTGTTTTATCATTGTTTCAACAATCAGTTTAACATCATATTTAAGATTTGGGATTACTTTGTATTAATAATTATAAAAAAAATCTTAGAAATAATAACATTAAAAAATATCTATTAATACCAGATTTAAAAGGTGTGCCACACATTGATATATTGCCCAACACTGCAGCAAAAGAGTGAAAAAACGGGAGAGGAATACACATTGATATTTGTTTGTCATCAAAATCAAACATTTCTCCGCATAATATCGTATTATTCACTAATAGATAACCAATTTTGTTGTTAATTAGTTTGAATATAATTATTACATTTATATACTCACCTATTGTATAATGTGATGAATAGGCGCCTTTTGGTTTACCTGTCGTTCCCTTAAAAAAATAATTTTTAAATCAAATGTAATAAAGTTATGATAAAAATATGCTAATATATTATTATACAAACCGATGTGAACATAATGATCGCCGGGTCATCGGGTGATACGGCATCAGTCACTTGACTACTAATTATACCGTCATTTGCCGTAAGATTATTGAACGGAATATAATTGACATAATTGTTGTCATCTTTTGATGGCTCACTTCCATCCATAAGAATTACATTCTTTAAAATCAATGGTTCCTCTTCTTTCTGTTTTTTTTAAAAAATATATATAAATTAAATAAATTTTTATTTTATGTTTAAAAATAATTATCAGCTATTGTTTTGTACTAATTACAAAATAAATAAATTAAAATCATTTATAAATCATTAATATGAGTACATTTTTAATTAAAAATTTTATTAATAATAATCTTATCATTTTATGCACTTATTTGTACTAATATACATGTATTTGTACTGATATTTTGTAAATATGAAATTATATAATTATTGTTTAGATAAATAAGTTATAATTACATACGTTTTGAGGCATTTTAAGAGTTTCAGTTAAGATGTTTTGATATTTATTAACCACTTCTTGTTTAGAGCCGTTTCCCGGCATAAAAATGGCTTTTATTTGTCCCTTTTTGAGGGCATAGTTTAATTCTGGTGATTGATATACAGGATTAACTGTACACAGAATTACTCCCAACCGAGCGCAAGCATATTGTGTCTGAACCTATAATATATGTCATCATTATTTAAATATTATTATAAGTAAATATTTCTTAGACTTCCTAAACTAATTTATATTATTGTAATTTAAAATACATAATAATTTTAAATCAAATCAATACCCAGGCGTATGAGTTACAACTCCACAGTCCCACTACATCTCCTTTTCTGAGTCCTAATCAATATGTATATTAATTTTCTATTAAATTGAAACAAATAATTAAATAATAAATACCTAAATCATAGAGTCCTTTGGCTAATCGGTTTACGTCTTCATTTAGTTGTGAAAAAGTTTTGCTAATATTTTCATATTCACTGATAAACGCAATATTGTTGGACACTATTAGCATATTAGTTGAAAAATAATCCATAAAATTAATTGATATAATTATAGACATAATTATACTAATAATAACCTGTTTGTGCTCTTTGTGTTAACAGATCTCCAATTCTAAGATATTGTAACTGTCGGTCACTTCTGCCAAATGCATGTGAATAGGGAAGCGATACGTGAGGACTGGGATTTAAAATAATATATTAAATATAACATATAATTAAAACAATGTTAGATATATAAATACAGTATAAATGTATATTAAGATTATGATATTAAAATTTAAGTTTAAAAATAATTATATTAATATATTCAAAGAGTTATAGGGATTAAAGAAAAATGGAGAGACAGAGATGACATTGAATATTATATTTTATTATTACATAATATTACAATTTATAAATCTAAATTAATATTTATTACAATATAATTAATATACTGTATATTATCACAATATTGTTATAACTATTATTCAATTATTAAAATTGATTATTGTTACTAAAAAATTAGACTGTTAACAATTTACTTTATATATTAATTTAAATTTTATACTAAATTGTCATGTGATCATAGTATATGATAGTAGTGATCATCAATTATTCATTATTATAATATAATTACCATTTTTAATGTATTCATAATTGCAATTTAAAACATGAATTAGTTTAAATAAATAAATTTTATTTTAAAGAATTTTAATGAAAATTATATATGATAAATATGCAAATACAATATAAATGATTTATTTGACTATAATTTATTATCATTCATACAATGTTATAAAAATAATTATTAAACTGAGTAATATAACACGTACAGTATAACATAATTTGAAACATTTCCTCATTTTATCAATTATTAATTTTACTGTAAATATTTTTTTTTTAATATATCTAATAAATTTTGTTTATTTTGTTATATTTTCCTATTTATAAATAAACTACATCATATTTATAGATAACACCAAAACTCTTTAAAATAATATAATATTAGATTAAAATAAATTTAACACTTTAATAATATCTGTAAAATTAATTAATGAAAGTAAAATAAGTCAAATATATATATTTTACCTCAATTTTTGAGAGTAAGACTTGTAGTCCACAAGAAAAACACTTTTAACATATTTGAGAACAAATTTTTTATTATATTTGCCGACAAAATTTGGACACAATTTAATGCTATTTAATAATTGTGACATTTTATTATAATTATTCGCAATTAATGGTGTTATTTTCAAAGTGGCGTATATTTTATATTTCTATAAATGAATTGCAATTTTTAGTGATACAAATTTTAAAATAAATAAAACTCAAGTTAAAATAATGAGTACAAATAAGCTGAAAAGTAAAATTAGGTTTTAGCACAAACTTTATATCCGATTTTAATAAATTTAAACTCAAAATCTCTAAGACTCTGTAATGAAAATTAATATTAATAAATGTTGAACTGATCACTGCCTGAGGCTATACTATAGTACACCCAACACAAGATTGTTGATATAATTGAATAAATTTCCTCTAATGAAACTTATGTTAGAATGGAAAATATTTATTGATATTATTTTAATAAATTAAATTAATATGTGTACTGTATTTATAAAAATGTCTGATTATTATAAATAACTCACTATTAAATAAACAATTTAAATTATAAAAAAGTTTTTTAAATACTTGGTATAAAACTTGTTGTTCAATATATTGAGTACATTCGCGCCAACCTTTGGTCATTAAATTGTTAGCAATTAAATCAAATGCTTTCAAATCTATGAACATATAAACACTATTTGAATAATCAACTAAACAAATCACTTATCATTATGTTATCTGTATTTTTTAATCAAATACAGTATATTATAAATTTAAAGAAAACCTAATACAACTATTAGTCTATTTGTTTGAATCAATATAATACATATTTTTAGCCTTCATTCAAGTTTAAATTAAAATTACTATTTAAATGTTGTTTAAATGTTATCACTTTTTATTATATTAAATAATTAAAAAATATTTTGTTATAGTAAATTACTTGGTACTGTAATTTGATACCTTATGTAATGTTATAAAACAAGATTTAATTAATACATTTTTAAAATAATTGATTTATGCTTTAATTCATTGATTGATGAACCCGTTAATATTAATTGTATAATAAACCAGTTATAAGTTAATTAAAAATAACTTATTGCATACATACACTTCAATTGGTAATAGAAAACTAATTACAGGTAATATTATAGAAAAACCACTTTTATTTGTAATTCAATTTTTATATCAAATTATAAAGTTCAATAAAATCGTAATTTTAAATAAGCAAATAGTTACCATTAATTAACAAATAAATTATTCAATTAAATTAAAAATTGAATTATCAAAACAAATTAAATTATGGTTTACAACGCGAGACAAATCTTGGRTAAAGAGTAGAATCGCGAATATGGTATCGGTTTAGAACATATGTAATAAATCTTTCGAGTCCTAACCCATAGCCTCCGTGAGGAGTCGTACCAAACAAACGTTGATCGGTATACCAATAATAGTTCTTTGGATCCACACCTTCACGTTTAAAGCCTTCCATTAATTCTTTGTGATCCCATATCCTCATTGATCCTCCAATTATTTCTCCCACTCCGGGTAGCAATATATCCATCTAATAATTAAAATTATTAAATATTCTATAAATATTCTACACTTATTTATATGACTCACCGATTCTGTAAGTCTTTTATCTTCAGCACAACGCGGCATATAAAATGATTTTATCTCAGCCGGGAATCTACACAACATTATTGGCTATAAAATCATAAAATTTTATTAAATACTATAAATCAAACAAATTAAATACAAATAACTTAATAAATTAAACAAAACCTCATTTATTTTGTCAGTCATCTGTCTTTCAGGCATTTCTGGAATGTCTTCACCGAATTCATAAAATGTTTGGTCCTCTTTAGTGATGTTGTTTTCTTTAAGATAAACTAAAGCCTCCGTATAATTCATGCGCTTAAATGGTTTCTTCGGTGCTTTGAATTCGGGATTGAAATGGTTTATAGTTTCTCTACCCAAAGGATCGGCCATCAGTCGATCGACGACATCAACCAATAAATCTTCTACTTTGTCCAACAAATCTTCAAACGATATAAAAGCACACTCAGCCTCTACGTGTGTATATTCAGCTAAATGTCTTCGAGTACGGGACTGTTCGGCTCGATATGATTGAGCGATACAGAAGACATCACCCAATGAAGGCAATACTGTTTCCAAATAAAGTTGTGATGATTGAGTCAAATAAGCCTCTTCACCAAAATAGTCAAACTTGAATAAAGTGGATCCGCCCTCACATTGTGACTGTACTAATGTCGGAGGTGTCACTTCAAGATAACCTCTTGAGAAAAAATGTTCTCTAAAAGATTTGAGAACAAGTGATCGAAAAGCCATTATTTTTGACAAAATCTCTCCTCTAAGCATAAGATGTCTTTGATCCAACTGAATGTCAACCAAAGCATTCTCATTGAGCACGTGATCAATACCACCGGCCGGTGCATTGCTAATGAGTTTCCAATAATCGCACTGCAATTCATGTCCACCYGGAGCTACCTTTCCTTCGGGTAATACTTTAAGCGTTCCATACAATTGAACAGTAGCTTCGGTTTGAAGTACGAGTGCATCATATGTTTGACACATTTCATTGGTCAGAACGCACTGTAAGAAACCGGTTCCGTCTCTCAAAGTTATAAACATAAGTGCTTTTCCCTGTCGTCTCAACCGATGGACCCAACCTTTAATTGTTATTCTTTGGTTGCGATGCGCTGTTGTGTCTCTTATTTTAATTAGTATAGGCGTTGACAAAGACTCATCCAATTTGATGGTAATGTTCTTGGATTCCTCCAAATTCTTGAGTCGTCTCTCTTCATCTTCTGTTTCCTTCTGTTGTTTTTCATCCTTCTTATGCTTTTCTCGAACCCATATCTTCTTAATCTTTTTGATCTGAGAGACGGACACGACATCCCATATTTTGTTCGCTTCTTTGGATTCGCTATAAAAAGTGGGAAACGGCTCTTCACCGGCTCTTCTCATGGCTTCTAATAAAGTCTTCAAAGGTTTTCCTTCAGTTCCATCTCCAGTCTCATCGCTTCCAATCTTTTCGTTGATATAAATCTCTTCTGTTATAAAATAATTAACAAATGTTTTATCACTTGACATGTGTTTAGTGAAGACTCACTTAATTTTAATGTTTCGTCCATTTGTTGTATAATTGTTTCACTCATTTCAATATAATTAATACTTAAAAGTATTAATCAATTAATTTAAACGATAATTAATTTAAATATTTCTAACAATATTGAAGTGTTTGTGTAATGAAAGCAATGTTTTAATTAATTTATTGCTTTAAATGCAAGAAATGATGAAAATGTAGTCATCGATGGCATCACTAATACAATGACTATTTGACTACCGGTTTGGGTAAACATAATATACGAGTAAACAAATGACAAATCATTTACTATTATGTATTTTCACTCATTTGTCAAATTCCCAGTCTTTCCTAATTTTATTTGAAATTTTCAATAAAATTATTAAATTGTTATAAAATGATCACTCAATTTATGTTATTATACAATAAAATATATACTAAATTTGTATTTTGTATATAAATTATAATAAATATGAATATATTTCATACATTAATAGGAATTGTTAGTCATTTGGGTTTAATATATGATTGAAATTCAATACTTATTGCTGTAATAAACGCTATTTGTGTTGATTTATATTTAGTGTTGAAATTTACTGTAAAAAAGTTATGCAATGATTGCAATCAATTGCAAAAAAGTTTTAACTAAATATTGATTTAATTAAATAGTTTTGATGTGTTATTACTAATTGATGTAATGGTTAGACAATGTCTGCAATGAAGTATATATGTGTTTGTCTATCAGTGTTTCGTTTGTGTGAGTTATGGATGAGTTGGTCATACCTACAACCCGACCAATTCTTTCAGTCAACCGAACCCATCGCTGGCCACGTGTTTGACACCAAAGTATTGATGGTCTGGGAGTTCAACACTTCGTTTCCGTTGAGAAATATCTTTTTTCCTCAACTGATCTCAAGACCCGTCTTTACATTACTTAAATGGCTTGAAGTTAATGACAATCCATTTGTGGTGTTTCTTTGTCCACGAATTGTCATCACTTTATTGTCATTCATTTGCGATTACAGTTTATACACAATGAGTCGATACAGTCAAAGAAGTACATCACAAGTGATACCATCGCTGGTCATATTTGGTTCATCTTATATCACATTAACTTATTTGACACAAACTTTTAGCAATACTATTGAAACTATTTTACTATCAATTGTTTTAATGTATGTCTTCAAGTCAATGGCAACTAATAATTACAAGACATATAACACAACAATTTTGGGAACAGTATTATCATTTGGACTCTTCAATAGACCGACATTTGTTTTGTTTGCATTTCCCTCTGTTTTCTTTTGGGCCAAATATGATGGCAACACATCTCGTAAGACTAAACGGTCAAAAAGTTGGTCACAATTTGTCGTTACAATAATAACCCGCGGCTTATCATTAATACCATCGTTTGGTATTACATGCTTAGCATTGATAATATTTGATACTCAATACTATACTAATAACAATATCTTTGATTTATATGAAGATGTGATTAATTTGAGATTTGAAGAACTAGTCAATAGTTTAGTGATAACTCCCTTAAATTTTATTATTTATAACACAAAGACATCCAATTTGGCTAACCATGGATTACATCCGCAATACTTTCATGCTTTAGTCAGTGTTCCCCTGACTTTCTCAATATTAGGACTGTTAGCATATTATGATATTTTTGACAAACTCAAGAAGTTATCATTTGGTCGCACATCAAACAAATGCAACTTTGAATTGATAGCTTTGTTAACATTTATTATACCATTGATAGGATTTTCACTGATCCCACATCAAGAACCCAGATTTCTAATCCCAAGTTTGGTTCCTCTTTGTTATCTCTATGGAAAGCCAGCGATTAATAGCAAATTATTATTTATTTTATGGATTATTATTAACACAATTCTTGTCATTTTCTATGCATTTATACACCAATCGGGTGTAATTAAAGGACTTTTTGATTTAAATGATATAATCAAACAAAACAGTGATAAACGCATTGATATAGTATTTTCTCGCACTTACTTACCTCCTCGTCATTTGCTTAATATAGATAACAAGTGGTCAGACATACAGATTCACGATCTATCGGTTCTGAATTTTCCTCAACCATTGAATTCGCAAATAAGAGAACTGAGAGATCAAAACGCAACAGATTTTTATCTCTTAATTCCGAGTTGTCTTTCGGAACAATTGATAGATTTATTTACAAAACATGGATTAAATTATAAATTATTAAAACAGTATTTCCCGCACTTCACAGCTGAAGACATCGGAAGTTCATTAAATATATTAAAGACTAGTTTATATAATTATAGAGAAGCTTTCAGTTTAAACCTTTGGAATGTCTCAATCAACTGATATAGAGTTCAAGCGCTGGGATATGGACTGGTATTCTGTGTTGTCTTCTGATTAGACGATGACATGAACTTTAAAATACAAAAATTATTAATTTAAGTCATTTATAATGTCATAAACTATTTTCAATAAATTTTGTTAAATTAATATATTTGCTTACGTTATAAAAGATTTGTTTTCCCACATATTGTGTTAAAACTGATTTGAAATTACCACCTAATTTGCAGCGAATATAGCCGTAGAGATTAGATGAACTCAATACAAGAGCTAAAGATACCACCATCTGATTGATATATAGTTTAATAGATGTTTATAAGGGTTTTCTTATATCAATGATTATAATACTTACAAACCACTGGATATTAAGTCGAAAAATAGTGACTAACAGTAAGATAAACCAAAGTAACGGTGCGATTATTAGTGCCGTCCAAAAAATGGTTGAATCGGCCGTATTGTCAGTCAATTGGTTGAGGCCTTTGAGTGAATCTTCACCGTTATTATCCTTATTGTGTTTATTCTCAAAGAGCCAGTGACTGTTGCCATCGTCATCGACGTGATTCCACCACCGAAGACCTACAAGTAATCTTCCGGTGACATTCTTAACGGTCCAGAAATCCATTGATATTAATAATATTAATAATACAAATATCGACAAGAAATCTAGTAATTAATCAATAATTATATTAAGATATGATTGCCATTATAATTACCACAAACCTTGTCCAAAAAGACCTCCAAATAAATAGGTGACAATCGATGATAACTTGAAGATTATATGAAAGAAAGCAGCGCTCGGATGTCTATTTGGTCATCAAAAAAGACATTTAGGTTATCATAACAAACCAATTGACTATTCATTAAATAAATACTTAAATCGTTGATGTCTTGTAACAGTTATGTCTCTTTCAAAATCGTAAAGTATGTGTTCAGGACTTGAAGACATCGATGATGTCTTAAAATATCAAAGATATCATTAATAAATAATAATGACATAAATTATTAGTTTCATTAATAACATACCGTTTGACCCATCATTATATGGTTAATGTATTATCAAATAAATCAATCAATTTAATAGTCATCACATAATAAGCAATCAATCGCTACATTTGTATTGAATTTTAATAAAGTGTTTGCTTTCAAACAAAACATTGCATCAAATGAGTGACGTTTGCAGTCATTTAAAACAGCAATTTATTACAGTATTATTGCATTGCTTTCAATTGCTTTCAATTTTGCTATAATACTGATATCGTATAATATCTGTCCATTTAATGCACTTTATTAGCAATTATTTAATAAATGAAAAGTTTTCATTAATTGTGACAATTTATTATACAATTTATGAAAAATGTACAAATATTATAGGCATTTATAATAATTTAGTCAAAATATAACTTTATATTGCTTTTACTGTAATGTCATTTATAAAGAAATCGTTAATTTGTCAAAAATAATTAAATTTAATAATTACCGAAAGTTAATGTTTTGTATTATACATTGTACTTTAAAAAGTAATAAATTTACAATTAAATTGTTGATAAAATGAAATTATTATGAATAAAATTATTATAAATTGACAGCAAAATTATTCAACAAATTAAATATGTATTTCTAAAATAGTGTTTTTTATATAAATGTTAAAGAAATTATATAATCAACAAAAAATTATGAATATATTTAAATAAGTGCTTAATTTAATATAACATTTTCTCAATGACTTCAAAGATGTTGAATTAAAACCAACAATTAATTTGTAAATAAACTAAACTTTTAGTCAAAATTAACAATTATTTAATTGTTGTGACGTTTCAAGTCCTTGAAGACGTGATATATGATTGTATATTTTGAGAGCTGGACCTAATTTAAGTGATAATCCGGTTAATACATCCATTCTTCTTAATAGTAATAGAGATCTGCCATCAATTTCTTGTTCTTTAAATATTAAAGACTCTGATGGGAAACCAGAGTCGCGTATAAATGTTTCCACTTCTTCAACAGTCCACTTCTGTGGACTAATGGCAGGTTTTGGACTTAGGTTTGTATTACTGGAACTATTGATAAATTTTAATAAAAATTATTTCTAATTATATTATAATTACCGATAAATATATTTTTAATACCTCTCAGCATTAGATATTGAATCCGTATCCATCACTTTGTCGTCTTGTTTATCATTATCCTCATTAATATCATTCAATTTATTGTTTTCTATTAATTCATCAATATTTTCATTATTCTGTTGTCTATTCATTTGTTCTTTAAGAGAATCGCGAGAGTCATCAGAGCTTATCTTTTCATTATCATTGACATAATTGTCGTCATTTTGATTAACAAAATCAAAGCATTTCTCTTCTTTTGGTTCGACAATGTTTTCAGTTTCTTCTTCATCGGATTCATCTGATTGTTCACAAACACTCTTTTTGTCGGACACTCCGTTTGATACGAGTAAATGTACTGATCCTTTGCTACAACAGTTATTACAATACCAATTGCCTATATATATGAGTAAATTAATTATTATACTGTATTTAATAAACAAACATTTAATTTTTAAAATAAGTTAATAACTTAATTACCTTTTGGTTTATTAATAATTTGTGTTGAATGACATCTCACATGAAAACCTTTACTACAAGTCATACATATAATAACATATTCCTGTATTTAAAATAAAGTATAAAAATAATTTTAACTTACATTGGAATTATCAAAATTAATAAATTTATAGTCATTTAAATTGTATATTTATATATATTTTGCTTTAAATTTGTTTTGTTTTTGTTTATTTGTGGTTAAAAAGTTTGATGAAAAGCTTACGTTAGTATCATTTTGGTGACAAACTGAACACAGCTTACAGTTATGGCACTGCCATTGAGTCTTATGCACCACTTCTTCGTTGACATTCACACAACTGGGATGTGCTATCAATTCAAACAATTAGATAAATTTTATTTACTTTTTATTAATTTTTTATGTTAAACCTTTTGCATCACAATTATTGCAATGAAGAAGTTCTTCTAATACATTAAAAGAAGTCGAAGAAGAGAACATCGTTAGCGAACAGATATCACATTTTGGTTCATATGTGTCGCGAAGGTAAGCCATTCCAAGTTCTGCCGTCTCTAAGAAGTCGGGACCCAATGACTTCTTAAATTTCTTATTTGTTAAATATTTATTTATTTCAATTAATTCAATCTTCTTTACGTTAATAAAAATATAGACAAACATACTTTGCGTTTACTTATGGGTCGAATACGTTGAGGAATGGGTGCTGAAGACTTCTTTTGTCTTTTTTGAGTTACAGATATAGTTTGGTTGACCAACAATGATGTGCCATCAGGTACTCCATTACTATCCTCTTTGGAATCGCTCTTCATCTCTATTTCCATCACTTTTCAAATACAATCCATTAGTCATTTAAAACATTAAGTATATTATATTATGACAAACACTTACTGTACTTTTAAATTGATAGTCGATATGATTACAAATTATTGTAATGACTTGTTATGGGAACACAAACTTAATATCAATAGGTATACCGTATATGTGCTATAAATTACTGTATATTTACTATAATAATAGCAATCCAATAGCAGTCACACTATTATGATATTCAAAATAGTTATAATAATTATTAATATTAATAAACACAATTTTATAACATCCAAAATCATTTTATAATTAAATAATTATTAATTATACAATATCTTAATATATTGACTAATAAAAAATAATAATAATTTTTATACTTTATTATTAAAAGTATAACGTTATGATAAATATACTAATAGACAATTTATAGATATGTTAAGTTAGTGATCAATACAGTTGACCACAATTATTATTATTAGATTATATATATTATTTAACAAACTTTTTCAATGGTTTCACTAAATAATTAAGCATTAAGTTTATAAAATATAATATAACATAGTTTGCATGTTTTGTAATTAAATTGTTGATCTATAAGTGACACCATTTGTTCAATAGTTGATAATAAATACAAAAATGTCAATAAATAGCAAACAAGAAGATTCTGTGGTCTAAACAATGTTTGCAAAAGTAGTTTAAATCAATTGTTAAGTATATAATAGATTAACAAAACATATTTTGATGAAACATTAGTTAATATGTGTTAAATCATAGATTCAGATCAACTCGTTTTAAATAACTTCAAAAAAACTGTTCAATTGTTGGCTCATTGACTATACATTGAATATCAATTGAATTAATTGCTTGTTTTTATTAATTAATTTTAGTCAAATAACTGATTAAATTAAATGCCATAAACATATAATAACATTATTACAGTTTAGTTAATTGTCAAAATAGGCAATTAATTAGCAATTTATAGATTAAAGACTGAAAAATATAAAACTATAGAAAATTATATTCAAAAGTCTCTAAAAAAAGGGACATATATTTAGTACGTCTATTGCATTGAGTGTAACAATACTACAATACTATACTACAGTACAGTATAATACAGTATAATATCAAATCAATGATTCTTATATTATAACAGACTTTTATATTGTATATATGCTATCAATAACTATGTTATACATTATGTTTATGTTTTACCAACAATTATAACTAATTAATTAATGAATCAATCATTTTCACACAATTCAAATATAAATTCAAATATTTTACACATTATATACATATATTTTTTCAAAAAAATACTTAAACTGTTGAACATTATAACTAATGACACTTTTGACTAAATATAAGAATATAATAGTCTTTTAAAATGTTTATAAATATTAAATCATAGAATCAATCAATTATTAACTTAGTATAAAAATGGTTAATATTATATAAACATTTATAAAATTGTATAAATATTATTATATTATTATTTTAAAACTAATTGTTTTTAATTCAATCAAATTTTATTTAAATAATATACAGTAAATTATATGTTATTAAAACTGAAAAGTCAATAAAAACTCATTTTTATCACCGATACTGACCTGAATTGATTGGAAATGCTTTTCCAGTAAGTGATGGTATGATAGTTGGGTCACAATTGATGGTCAAAAGTGATAGAAATGTTTTCAATGATAATATTTCAAGAGATTGTCAAGTGATCTACTGATCAGTATTTCAATCACTACTTCTATATTATATTATATTATATTATATTATATTATAATTCAAGCATTCATTCAGTCATTCATTCAATTCATTGTCAGTGTTTGTGAATAGCATTTAAAAGCTTTAAAACTAAGTTCAATGAGTTGTCATAGAAATAGAAAACAATAATAGAGTTTTGCATACATTTTGTGCACACATTTAACTGAATCTTACTTTCAATACATTATTCAATTGAATGAATTGTTTGTTTTGATAATTATTTAATAATTGATTGATTTAATTGAATAATAATCAATGGGTTTAGTAAAACAAAGTTCATTAAGTGTGCGATTAATACGAATGGGATGTAAAAACCGACCCTTTTATCAGATCGGAGCTCTTCCCACAAGACGAAGATCTAATCTATTACCCGATGAAGTGATCGGTAATGTGGATCCCATTCCCAATCAAAACAATGAAATCATTGCCAGTTGTGATCTCAAACGGTTAGCGTATTGGACGGGAAAGGGAGTTGTTTTCAGTAAAGGCATTCAAAATATATTGGGTATGTCATCAGTATATCATATAGGATAGGATAGGATATACTTTACGGTAGTATTGAAAACTTTTAATAATTTATAGGAATGGCTGGTTGGCTACCCATTCCTCCCGCCATTTACATCAAAGCTCTGGAGAATCGCGAAAATAAAAGACAAAAGACAGATAAAAGTGAAGAACAAACTGAAGAGTCGGATGAGTTTGTCGTCGACTCACTCATCACTAAGAAACGTATCGTTTAAGTCCATCAAATCAATTAATACGTCAATTACATCGATAAATCGTATAAATTGTTTATAAATAAATAATAAAACAAATGTTAGTAATAGTTATATAAACAAATGTAAATCATTTGATTAGTGGCACAATAACACAAAACAAACTTTTATTCAAATTGGTATTTGAAAATAATTTACAATTTGATAGTTTGGGGAATGATATCTGAAACAAAATATTGATAAACAGCATATTTATATAATATTAATAATAAAAAGAAAAATAATTTTATATATTTATAGGAAAATATTCTAAGCTTACAATAATATGGCAGATGTGGTAAATAAAGTCATTATTACATAATATGGAAAAGTTATTTGAATTGAAAACAAAGTTTAAAACTAGATTACAATTTTTAATAAATATTAATATATAGCATATGGTCTTAGTTTGTATTTTAATAAATTGGAAATATATTGATGCGATCGGACATCATTTAGCTACTCCTAAATCAATACATTTTTGTTATTATAAGTAATTATTATATACATTGCTATAATACAAGAAAATAATTATCTTAAGAGTAATATATAAGTTAACCATCTTCTTTGGGAGGGGTGAACCAACCTTTCAATTGAAAATCAAAATTTATTTAATACTTAATTTATAATAAAAAATATGTTTGAATCACACTTACCATTCTTTTCATGAATTTGTACCAAAGATTTGAAGGACTGTTGGGCTCGGGCTAAGCTATACTGACCCTACATACATATATATGTATATATATATATATATAGAGAGAGAGAGAGAGAGAGAGAGAGAGAGAGAGTTGGTTATAAAGTATATTAATAGTCATTATGATTGGCATTACTTTATTGCCCCCAAACTGAATGCGTGCCTTTCCTTTGACAAGAGTGGCTGATATTTGCAATATAATGGCTTCAATAGTATAAGCACTGCTCCATCCCTTTCACACAATTATAATAACTAATTAATAATTTCAAAAAGTATTAATCAATTGAATACCTGTTTAGTAAGTAATTCCATACAAATGGCTCCGCCACCCAATACATATCCTCCTGTAATCGATGGATGTACTACACGTACAAATGGTGGTTCAAATGGAAAGGCCTCTTTAAAGAGAACATTAAGAAGAATAAAATCTTTTCCTTCTTTCTCTTTAAGGACTTGTAGATCATTGTGCAGTTGTGAGTCGGGATCAACTATAAGAAGTTTGACATTCCATTCATAAAGACTGTCATTAACTAAGTCTACAGTAAAGACTCCTCTCTTAAAGCTTTCCGATCGATACACTTCTTTGAGTTCTTTCATAAGTCGGTCGGTTGCCTGAACTGAACCCGAAACCGAACCTTTGAGGTAACCATCTCTTTGGGTTTGTCGTAACCTTTCGAGTGTTTGTGTGTGTTCTGTGGAGAGACCCTCGTCTTTGTTCTTCTCTTGGTTTTGGTTCTCTTCTTCCATTTCTATGTGCAAGTCTTCATATACCAACATCTCATCCTCATCTGTGTCTTCGTCTTCATCGGTCACCAATTCGACTGAATTGCGATCAAACTCTATTTCATCAGTAATGGTATCGCAATTAAATGACGGACCATTTGATGTCTCGTTTAACACAATTTGGTCCAATTTGTTAATGTCTTGAATGAGTGGCATAGTATGAACACGACATAACTCTTCAACTAATATCTTCACTTGTCTTAACATATGATTGTCTGCGCCCTCCGTATTGCTTAGCAATTGGACCACATTTGTGATGATTGGTTCGTCAGACTCGGAGAACCAAACGGGAGGTACAGATGGATATGTTTCCTATTAATTATAATTTAATTGTAAGCAATGATATCAATCACTCATCAATGGTATAAGTTATGACATACCGTAATGTTTGCGTGTATTTCATACTTCTTTCCATTGTTTGAAATAAAACGACATGAGATCTCATCGACCGTTGCGGTCAACACTTGAAACCTATCGTGAGTTTTGGGGAATGTCTTCTCCAGACGTTTGATATCAGCCTTAAGTGAATTAAGACATGCCATGACTTGTGGTGATTGGGACACAACAACAGTAACAACAAATAAGTTAAAAACACAACAACTGTGAGACAATTGGATCAATTCAGTGGTGACAGTGTGTCACTCATTGCTTCCGTCTATTGTTGCGATCATTCAATACATTCAATACATAGCATTCATTGCATTGAACGCCATAAACAATACATTGAATTCAATTGTTTTTATTAACTAATATTAACTAATATTAAACTAATACTAACTAATAGTTAACTAATGATTGCCTCAATTATGTTAACAATAGTTGAAATGTTTGTTATGTTTGTTAATATATTATCGACTAATAGACGCAATTATAGTGTAAATCAATGCTTATATTCAATGAAAGCCAAAATCAATTCAATGAATGGCTTTTCATAGCAATGAACGACAAAACACTGAAAACTACAACAATTACTCATCGCATACAACGTTACACTTAATAATTCCATTTCATTCAAAACAAGTGGACTTTTTATTATTATTATTATTATTATTCGAATTTTAACCGAGAGTTTTGAAATTTGTATTAAATTTGTTAAAACAATTATTATATTAAAAATTCATAAAATAATTTAATTAATGTAATTTGGATTTAATAATTAGCACAAATGAATTTAAATTTTTCAAATAGACATTTAAAATGAGTTTGTATTAAATGATTGGATTAAATGATTTTTGATTTAAAATTTTAGTTAAAATGATTTTAGAGCAATGAGTTTGGTTTATGTGAACTAATATTGTATATGAAGTGACAAACAGATTGTTTACTCCAATCAGTGTTTGTTTATTGACTCAAATGTATTATTCATATCAATTGATGGCATGTTTTGAGTTACCATTAAATTAGTGATATTTTATGATAATTACATCTATTAATTGGATCAGATTTGATATGAAATAATAGTAAACATATTAAACAACTTATTAAATAAACGTTAAATATTTTGTTAATTTTGTGCAATTGATGAAAATGAGTGCAATGGATGATATTGTGGACCAAGAAGTTATTGACAATGATGTCAATCAACTGAACGAAGTTGAGATGAATTTGTGTCGACGACGTGGTCTGTCTGAGCATATGATGCTTAGGTATGTCCACACATGTGTCGGCCGAAGAATATACGAGTCGGCACGCGATGGGATGGCCGTCACATTGTATGCATTGCTGACCAATATATCGGAAAAAGAGGCCAATGAATACATGAATAAGTTGGTGATCGATGGCCAGACTCAATGCACACCATTGATAATAGCGGCCAAAAACGGTCACTTAAATATTGTTAAGTTATTGATCATGAAGTTTACACCTAATCTTGAAATGGAGGGATCCGTTCAATTTGACGGTTATCTCATTGAAGGGGCCACTGCTCTCTGGGTATTAACAATTAGTTATTAATTAACTATTAATTAAATAATATCTTGAAAATAGGCGGCCAGTAGTGGTGGACATCTAAATATAGTGAAATGTCTCGTTGAACATAAAGCTGATGTCAATCACTGGACAAAAACACATTCAACTCCCTTAAGAGCCGCTTGTTTTGATGGACGTCTTGATATTGTCAAGTATTTGGTTCAACACAATGCAGACATTCATTTATCAAATAAATTCAATAACACACCACTTATGATAAGTGCATATAAAGGACACTTAGAGGTTAGTTTGTTGGATGATTTGTATGAAAAGCATTATCATTGAACCGTTGGTTTATTAGGTGGTTGAGTATCTGCTATCACTCAGTGCCGATCCTAATGCCCCGGCTTTATGCGGTGCCACTGCCCTTCACTTTGCCGCAGAAAACGGTCATTTACTGGTCATTAAAGAGCTTTTGTCACACAATGCTATCATTACAAAAAACTCAATAGGAATGACACCAATCATGACAGCGGCCGCTTCGGGTGCCGCACATATTGTCGAGTATTTCACTAACTCATCATTTAATCAAATCTCGGAAATTGAAAGAATAGAGGCCTTAGAGTTGTTGGGCGCCTCCTATGCCAACGATAAGGACTCCTATGATTTGGAGCGCTGTTATTATTACATGGAATGGGCGATGAGGTGTCGGTATAGAGACCCCAATAAACCGTTACTAAAGAGAGCATTGCAACCAATTGTTGCCTACGATAATCGAGTGGAGTGTCAAACATTAGAAGAGCTTCTTATGATTCAATCCAACAGTTCTGCCTTACATATGGAAGCGCTTGTAATTCGTGAACGTATCTTAGGATCAAATAATCCAGAACTCCCGCACCCTATCATATTCAGAGGTGCTGTTTATGCTGACAGCTCTCGCTTTGATAGATGTCTTCAACTATGGTTACACGCAATGAGATTAAGAACACTTAACAGAGTTTCCATTAAAAAAGATTTATTACGATTTGCACAAGTCTTTAGTCAAATAATTAATATCTCACACGACTTACCTTTTGATGCATTGAATGAAGTCATGAAAACAGCAATCAATGAATTAAATAGAAATAAAGAATTCCTTTCTAATTGTTCCGACGATATATCAAAAGATTTGATTCAAGAAGAACTCGACGACAATATACACACAGCTCTCTATCTTATTGTCATTATTACAAAAGTACTTTAATATAAATAATAATTATTATTATTATCTAATTTTAATATTATATTTGTTTATTTAACAGATAATGAAATTTTTAAGTAATGATGAAGAATTTTTGTTATGTCAAATGATATATCATTTAAATAAACTTAATTTAAAGACAAAAGACGGTTCATCTATATTACATTTGAGTGTCAATGCGGACACACCTATTGACGACTTTTATACTAAAAACGTTTGCAAGTATGCATTGTTGAGTTAATGATATTATTAATTATAGAAATTTGAATGTTATAATAGGTTTCCGTGTGCCACTACATCCAAATTGTTGATTCAATGTGGAGCTAATGTCAATGCAATAGATGAACACAGGAACACACCATTGCATCTAATCGTTGCCTATCAGAAACCAATTAGCGATTTTCTTACACTTCATGCCATAACAACAGCACTCATCGAGAGTGGCGCACATATGGATGCCGTCAATGATAAAGATATGACAGCTTTGGAAGCGTCGACTACTGGTGTGGCGGAGATATTACTAAAGACACAAATGAAAATCACTCTCAAGTGTTTGTCCGCCAAAGCTATCAATAAGTATGGACTCGAATATAGAGATCTCTTTCCCGAACAAATAGTACATTTCATTGATATTCACGGTATTACTACCAAATGTTGATATAATTTATTATATGAGATAAAGTATATTATTGTTATTATATGTATATACATTAGATTACAATACAATTTTCTAAATAAATAAAAAAAATATTGCTGGTAATTAAATATTAGTAATTTTTTATCAAAAACTACAGTATAATCTCAATTTTACAATACCATACATTTACTTAACCGAAAAATAACAAACTTAAAGAAGTTGAATCAATTAAATCAATATAATACTATTAATAAAATGATTACTAGTATTGTAATATTGATATAAATGTAAAATAATGGCATTTGCGATATAAGCGCAAATTATACGCAAAAATAGTGTATATGTTCTGTAAATTTATGTATTTCAAGAAATAATTGATTTATATATTCTTTATTTAATAATTTGAAATATATTTACCAGTTATTGGTATTGATTGACCACATTTGCTATTTGAATGATAGCCTAATATCAACAATAGTTTTTAAATTATTTATTAAATATATTTTTATTTATTATGACTAATGCTATGTATAAACGAAAATCTAGGTTTTGAAAGCTGAAAACAGCCGTATCTGAGAATAATCATTATTATAGCCAAATATATTTGTTTTTAATTAAGTATGAAATTCAACACAAGTTATCATAGAAATAAAAAAAATTAATTGTTATCAATAGTGACGTGAAACTGAATTCATGAATACGTATTGTAAAATATTTAGACTCTTTCTATTAATCCTTTTATATACCTAATCCTACCCGTCCTCACCTACTAATACCTATACTGTAATGTTATTATATAATATCTAACATAACTTCTAAAGAACACTTCTATACTAACTCTAATAATTTATACATCAGTTATTGTTATACTGTACCTGTGCTCCAATAAAACCAATAAATTCAAATCGTCTAGATTTTAAAGCTAACTTTAAAAAACTAACTGACCCTAAATAGCCACCGAAGCCGCGTTACTGTAAAATATTAGTTATATAAAGTACAGTACATACTTATGTAATGCAAATTTATTGAATAAAACAGTAAAAATTCGTTATAAAAATTACTATTTAGATAATCTTTATATTTAATTAACTATGTTTTTGAAGCAATTTTAATTTTTAAAATAATTTATTTTCTTCATTAATAAACATTTTTATATCTATATTAATATTAATAATTATAGTCGATTGTTATATTAATTAATACAATAAATTATATTTTAGTTAATATTTTATTAATTCTAATTTATGAATGAATTTATGAATTAGTGAATGAAAAATTTAAAAATACAGTAATGAATTCTACATTAATTTCAAAATTACTTAATTCAATAAATATTAGTTAAATTTTAAAAGTGGTTACAATTTGTAAATGTAACTTACAAATAGTGTTGGCAAAAAAAGAGAAATTTAAAAAATAATAGAGAAATTTCTAGAAAGTTTCTGAAAGAAATTTCTATCTATGGGATCCCCATGTTAATTATGTTATTTCAATATTTTTTATCTTGTAACATTGTTATTAAAAGTAATAATTAAATATTATTATTAGTATTTTAATTATTAATTAAGGTAAAAATTAATTTATTTAATTATATTTAACTATAATATAATAAAATGATGAATAAAATTTTACAAAACTGATTATTATTGGATAATTATACTTATTTATATAAGTATCCCATTTGTATAATATTAACATGTACAGTACAGTATTATGTCTCATTAATATATTTATAGTATTTCCAATAACTATAGATATGGGGATCCCATAGTATAACAATAAAGTTAAATTTCATTATAAATTTATTCATGAGAAACTTTCTAGAAACTTTCTCACGGAAATTTATTAGAAACTTTCTATTTGCCCATCTCTACTTACAAAACATATTTGTGTATTTGTCTGTAATGATTATGGTATTAAATAATTATATTAAACTAATTTTTAGTTAAATGTATTTTCTACTTTACCTCAATTAATATTTAAACTAAAATTTAATTTAGTTAACAAATTTTTTGACAAAAAAGTCAAATTTTGACAGTTAAGTGATATATAAGAATTATATTTCAATTAAGATCTATTGTAAAAAAAAGTTTTGAATAATAATATCAAACTTATTGTTACATAAGTTATAAAGGTTTTATCTGTAATCAGTGTTTATAGATTTAATACAAAATTATATATAAAAATAAAAAAATCAATAAATGATGAATTTTAATATATAAATCATTACAATCTGATAAAGAATAAAGTGTTAAAAAAGTTTTTAGATTAAAATTTAACTGATTTTAATTTAAAAATAAATTCAGATATTACAAATGTTTTTTCTTTATACTGATAACATTAATAGTATATTTGACATATATTAAAATCAATTAGTAATAACTTTAAATATTATAATTAAAAATAATTAAAATAGAATAAAATAATATTTTTAGTTACAAAAATATTTTTAATAAAATGATAATCTAATTAAGCATAAAATTAATAAATTAAAGGATGCAATTTAACAAACTATAAAAATGTATATTTAAATATTATTCATAATTTTGAAATACATTTATCAATTAAATATTGAGCTTTTTAACAAAGTGTGTTATATTAACAAATTAAAATTATTCTGTAAATTATATTTTTTATTTTTTAGTCGTTTATAAATATAGCAAGTTATCAGTTTTGTAATTAAATACTTATAAATGTAATTTAAAGTCATTTATTTGTTTAATTTTGCATAATATTGTCTAAATTAGGGTAAATTTCTAACAAAATACATTTTTAAAACACATAATACATTAATTTAAACCTTAATAAACATTTCTCGACAAAAATCAATTAAAATTAAAGTAATATCTTATTTAAATACCTGAACTAACATAAAATATTAATACACTAAAAATTTGTGTATAACTAAATTAGTTTTGTACCAAAGTTAGATTAGACGCAATAGATATGTAAAAATAAAGTAATTTTTATTTAGGTTGCGCTTAATTTTTGAAACCCCATATAATGACAAAACCTTTACATTGGAACACAAAAATAATAATAAATTTAATTAAAATCTTAATTAGTTTTCGCAATTTTTTTTATTACAAATAAATTTTGAATTTTCTTTAATTGTTTTATTTTAAAATTAAGTCATTTTATTAATGACAGTAAAAAACTGAATGTCCAAAATTTGTTAACAATATAATAATATACATCACAATAGTATTCATTTCATATCTTGAAAAACCTATAAATAATTTTATTAATTTTTTAATAAACTGTAAAATTAATGTTAGAATGATTAATACATTGAATATTCATTCATTTTTATGAAAACTATATTCAAGTATTTTTTAATTTTTAGAAATAATTTATTAGTAAATTTATAATAAATGTAAATTATCATTGAATGTCAAATTTCTAAAGACATTATAACGTATAGACGTTTATAAAAACGTTAAAAGTTTAGGCAACAATTAAATATTATTTATAAAAGTTCGTTCTGACAATGCTATCTAGCATTTTTCAATGCATTATGTATTAAATACATTAATATTGAAATAAATAAATAATTTATTAATAAATAATATTATTAAGAAAATATTTAAATTAATTTATTTATTATTAAAATATTATTATTACAAAAATAGTAAAATCGTTTGACCTCTATTTAAAACCTCTAAATTTTATTTAAATTTAAAAACTTCTTTAATATATTACATTTGATATTATATATGAGTGACAAAACAGTAAAAGAAAGCATAACTAAAGATAAAAAGATTTCTAATGAAGAAATAGCGACTAATGACAGTACAAATGAAATTCAAGAGAAAAAAATGAGACAAACAAATGATAACAATTTGAATGATTTAAACAAAATAACAAAAAAAGATTTATTAAGTGTTGTTATAAACGAGAAACTTAACGGACATCGAGGTATTGGTCACAGAGAGACCATAATTGCCAAGAATTGTGAAGAAGATATCGGCGAAGCAATCGACACCTTATATTCAGTTAACGAAAAGTTTAAGTTTTATTCATTCAAACAAATCCATTGCCCGTCTCTTGTGTCAGACTTCGATGAATCTGAATGTTTGCAATTAAAAGACAAATTACAGATCAAAATGGATTCATTATATCAATGGAGAGATGACATCGATTGTGATACCAATTACTGTGTTTTCGAGACAATCAAACAAAGAATTGATAAATTACTTCAACAGATGGAAAACTTAATGAGTTTTATAAATAAGTTAATTGTGAACATCAAAGAAATTATTAAACTACAAAAACCGTAGAAATAATAATAAATTCATATTTTAAATATTTTTTATAATAACTATAATTTAATATCTTATAATATAAAAAATAAAATAATATAAATATCAATAATTATTTACAAAAATGTTATTTTGAAAATCTATTTTTAGTTTTTAACCTAAAATATTGGTTTTTATACCTAAAAATATTGCATATATTTAATATAGAGTTATTGAAAGTGATAGTCAAATGAGAAATTGTTTGATTATTAGAGTGCAACTGATTATTCCTATGATTATAATTATACAGAAATGTGTGTCTGATCTTCAAATGAACACAAAATTGCAAATAATATTAAATTAATAATTAAAAATAGTCGACAAAAGCCCACAGAGTCTCTATGGTTACACATATTTTCATATATACTGTATTTGATACCTATTTTCCAGCTATGGATAGAAAGTTAGACATAGTTTGTAGAATAAGTCAATCGTATTAATAGATATTCAATATAACTGTCAACGACTTAAAACCAATTGAATCAGTTCTATACAATTATATACAATAATATACTTTATATAAAAAGTTAGATTAAAATTATAACAAAAATTGATAAAATGATGATATAAAATGCCTATTGCTATGAAAGAGAGATGTATTTGTCAAATATGTATTTGTGGGTAAGACATTATTTTTACTTATTTTTAATTTTTAATTTTAAATATTACATTTATATATTAAATTTTACTCATTTATAAAATAATAAAAATCATGTAATTATAAATTATGATAATTAAATTATGAATCACAAAGTTTCATTTACTTTATTAATTTTCACAGAAATAAATAATTATTATATTAAAAGTTTACAATATTTCATATGATAAATGAAAATCTTTATTAACAAATATAAAATAAGTTTCGTTTAATTATTACATATTAGAGCAATTCATTAATAATAAAATTATAAATTAATTTCATTTTTTAAATATAATGTGTTTGATTGAAATATTACATGTGTTTCTCAGAAATAATACAATACAATATATAAAAATTGAAATAACTAATAATAAAATAAGTTTATTTAATTATTTCATAGTATCAAAATGATTCAATTGATCAAAACGCATAAAATAACATAAAAGCAACAAATATATTATCATATCTTTTCGATATTATTTTTAAAAAGTATTGTTTTAAAATAAAAAATAAAAAGTTAAATAATTAAAATATATAAATAACAAAAATATTAATTTCCACACCGCAAGTAAAAAATTATTTGCGTATAACATATTAATGAGTTATTAAAACAAATTATTAAAAAATAATAAATTACACCATGTTAAAATATTATCATAAAAAAACTTTAATTACTAGAAAAGTTTTATAGATATTCAAATCAATAATAGTCTAAAATAAAAAGAAATAGTTGCGGTTTATAAAAATAATTGTAAAATTTTTAAACTTATTAAACTATAAGAAAGAAAATTGTTTTTTAATGTACTCAAAAATGACAAAAAAATTGATTTAAATATCTATAATATAATACTTTTCTCTGAGTTTAGTAAATTTATATTTTTTGTGTTTTATTAATTTTAAAATTGATGTCTTTACAAAATACTTAATATTTATTATTATGATTAAATCAAATATAAATTATTAAAACTTTTTTTAATTAGAGAAAATTATTTAAATTTATAATTAGTTGAGATTAAAAATTGTTATATAAAGTAATGTATTTAGTAAGTCATTGAGTCTAATACTACACAAAAATAATATCTATAGATTAAAGGATAGTTACTATATTATACAGTAGTATAATGATCATGTAAAATATCTATAGAAATTTATTCCTAAGAAACTTTCTAGAAATTTATTAGAATTTTTTTATTTGTTTATCTTTATATTTATGTGAAATTATTTTTTAAATTATAATATACTGTATATTATATAATTATTTCTTGATAATCCTTTAAATAAAAATGTTATAAATATTAGATTTTATTTTAAATAATTATAATTTATTACTATATAAATAATTAATCAATAAAATTATTTTATATATTAAATTTATGCGTTTAATTCATATAAACAGCATTATAACCAAAATTCATAAATATAATGAATTACAAAAATTGTTATAGAAATTCTTGTATAATAATTAAACAATGAAAAAATTTGTAAAGCATTTAGTAATTTTCTACTATATCTAAAATATAATTATTCAACTTTATTGTAGTTGAAATAAAAATATATTTATGTTAATATTTATAATCATAACTAATTTTAAATATAGTAATTTAAAATGTATAAAAATTTTAACTTATTTGTATCATTTTAGTAAGATATAATTACTAATTACTATACACTATAGGCTGCTTAGTTTATTTGTATTCATTTAAATAATAAAACAGTTTTGAATATATCATATTTATATTTCATCAATTTTGCTATTTATTATATAAAATAAAACATTAATTGTTTGTAACTAAAGAGTAAATGTTCGAAATAATGTTAACTGTAATTTAAATTTTGTATAATTATAGTCATTTAAGTTGTAAATCAAGTAAATGTACACAAATTGTCTATTTATTTGTAATAGTTTTTATGTTAGTCAGCGATGCATAAGATGTGAGACAATGAAATAATTAGTTTTTGTTGTTCGCATTTATAGTATATATATATATATACAGAATATTCTGTAATTATTTGCGAAAAGTTTAATATTTTGCTTTAATATCATACGATTTCCTTAATGTGAAGTAATGTTTCCACAGTATAGGCAAAACATTCAATATAATTAATCAGTTATATTATTATATATACAGTATTTGAGTCAAAAGTATTATATACATTATTTAGTAATAAACATAATAATAATAAATAACTAAAAGACAATAATGCCCTAAATAATGAAAGTATCATATATTTAGTTGAAGTGGTTTGAAATTATGATAGCTTAGCAACACTGTTAAGCACGAGTGACTCTTATATACAATTTTTACAATTAAAACAAAAAAAATTGCGGGCATTGTATCAAATGATAGCAAAATATAAATTTATACACAAAACAAATGTTTAATTAGAAGATAACTTTTTTTTGTAGACATACCATAACATAGCATATGTTCAATAGATGTCAAAAATGCAAATCACATCCGCCTTTCGCATCGATATTCAATAGTTTTTCAAAAACTATATATATTTAAGTAATTGAATGTTGGGTTCGGACTATAATGAGATGTCGCAGATCTGATGCAAACTCATGGCATCTCTTCCTCTTACTTCACGCACCCAAACATTTGAATCAATTTAATATATTGGAGACAATCATTGAAGAACCAAATCTGGTTAATACAAGTGGTGTCACTAAAAGGTATAACTCATTTGATTCGTTAGTCGTTTTGAGCACAAGTCGATTGACGGGGGAATGGGATCATTGAAGTTCCTATTATGAGACTATAAATCATACAATTATATATACTTTTGTCTATATCTATTATTTTGTATATAAAAATTTAAACTCTATATAAATTATTCTCAATATTAAACATTAAGTCATTATTATATTTCAAATTAATTCAAACAAATTGTTAATAATTATTTAAAAAATAACTATAAATATATTAACTGTATATTATAACTATTACATGTTTTTTAAAAAATATTTACTGCTATAATAATAATTAATTGTTAATTAATTATAGGGAACACCGTTGCGATTCTGTACAAAAACATCAAGTGATTGAAAGCATTGATGAAAAAATTGAAAAAATTAGTCAAAATAAAGACGAGGAAGTAGTGGACAACAGAAAACAAAAAATAGACGAAAAAGAGTTTCGCGAACAAAGAGAAAGACAGAGAAGACTATGGGAGACATCGCCGGATCAGATGCAAGAAGTGACCCGTTCTTTGTCGCAAATAAATGGCGTGCATTCAGACAAAAGAGGCAGTGATTTAGTTAGAAGTAAACGATCGACAAAAGACAAGTTCGTTGAAAAGTCGAGTCAAACAAATCGTTCAACACTTCCTCCGATTAACTCTTTTAGTGACAGCGATTCAGGTAAAGATCGCAAACAATTGTGTATTTGTGAGGATATGTATAAAACAAGAGATGACTCGCAAGCGTTGGCCGATAGTAACCAATGGCTCGTCACTCGACCCAAACGTAATAAGCCATTAGACAATCTACGTCTTGAGGGTTCAATGGAAATGAAAACCACTTTTAATACCACTTATGATACGACTGCCAAACAAATAACTGATAAAAATGTTGCGGTTGTGATGCCGTCAACTAATCTCAATGGTTTAACAGCTATAAAGTCAAGCAAAAAGAAATCAAAGCACAGACCGAGTACTAGTCTTAAAGCCGGTGGCGACGGATATTTCAATACAATCAATAAGGAGTCGTATAAAAACTTTGTTATAATTGATGACAAATTAACTAAAAATAAGTCAAATGGCAAAAGTGTTTGTTGTGCGACAGTCACTAAACTACCAAAAGTTGGCGACAATTATTCAGAAAAAATGCAACAAAAAGAAGAAAAATCGACACAAATGGAGCAAATGGAACAAATAAACAGATCTCTACAGAAGTTAACCACAGATGACTCATTTGATGACCAAATAGATGGACAAACAACTCACTACTCGTTTACCAAATATGCTGACACTTCTGTCCAAACAAATAATCTTGAAAATCACATTTCAAAAAGAAAATGTCTTTTAGATAAAAGTAAATCTCAAGAAAAAATACAAATCAATGGTAATTATCAAGAAAATGATAAATTAGAAAATAAAAAATCAAACGAATCTCAAGAACCAGCTGTCAGTTGGACTGTTGGACAACTTGAAGGACACAAACAAATCACAACACAAGATATCGATAATATTAAAAACTTTGGAATTCTCGATGATTTTAATAACTCTAAGACAGAAGAAAAACGTGTTATAGAAGATAACAAACAAATTACAGAAAATAGTAATGAATTAAAAGAAGTTACGATCAAAGATTCATCAAAATTGGGAACCGATAACAAACATTATGTTCAACAACAAAGAAGACAGAAAAAGCATAAAAATGAGAGCAGTGTTCGTCTGTTTGATGGAGATATGGATTTCACGACAACTAACAAAACATGTTTTGAAAAGTCTCCGAACAAAGAGTCGGTTAGTATTCCGCGGGAAAAAACTGCTGGAAAGAGAAGTCGCAAAAGCGGTCGAAAGGGAAACTTATTTCGGGAGTCGAGTGAAGCAGAATTCAATGAACCGTACGGAGAGCCGAGTCGTACCACAGAAACCACTTATCAAAAGCAATTCGGGGATCAACTCTATTGTCCGGTTGTTGACTTGGGATCCAATAAATCTGAGTTCACATTCAAAGGTGAAGCCAGTGGTCATAAATTCTTTTTGCCGACAGTTAAATATTAGGCATTTAAATAATCAATTAATTTAATTGATTTCTTTAAAATATTCAATATTAAAAAATTCGTACAAAATATTTAAATCATTTTAAAACAGGAAATTTCATATATTTAAAAATTCTTTTTAAGTAACTCTAATGATATATACAATCAAACAATGATTTATATAAAACAATAAATTACACAAAATTTATTATATAATTTAAAACAAATTCCTTAATAATAATAATAATCTCTAATCACTGTCAGAACCAATTGGTTTCCGTTTTTTGCGAGAATTTGCAGTTTTTTGTTGCTTAGCTAATGGTATGTCGTCCTAAAAAATTAATAAAAAATTGTTTATCATTTAAAATAAAATATCTCTAATATTATAATTATTATGTCATACATCTGATGAATCGCTGTCAGTATTGGAGTCATTGTTAGTATTGGAAACACTTAAAAACTTTGACTTTGATTTTGAATTCTTTGTCGTCCTTTTTGTGGTTGGCTTTGGTTCCAATTCTTCAGCCAACGCAAGTAAATCACTGTATCTATTGATAAATAATAAATATTAATATTATTACTTATTTTTATTGTAAATTATTTGTTTACTTAGTTTTTTGAGCATCAGTTGCAATGGACTGTAATTGAACTAATATTGTCTGCATTGTCTCACTATTAAAAACTAAAATAATAAACAATTATTAATACTTAAACTAAATTATTATATAATGTTAAATAATAAAATGCATACAATTTAGATTTTTATTTCGTTGTCGTAAACAATCCAAATGCGCTAAAATAAGCTCAACATTAGATCCGAGCTGTACTTTATTATTGTTGACATTTCTTTTGGTTCGTTTTGCGGGTGAACTAACTTTTGTGGTCAAATATGAAGAGATTAATTCTGACAATTTGTCCGAATAATTATGAGACCAATAATTAAGAACTGATACAACAAAATAGTCATTGTTTTTAGCTTCTCTGCTAAATATATGTTTAATTAAGTTAGATGTCGGAGATTCCCGTTGCAAATACAACATTATATTTGTCATCGCCTCGGAGTGAGCTATAATTATATCAATTGTTGTTATTATTACAATATTAACTCATTTTTTGTTTGTAAAATTTCTTTTGTTACTTACAATTATATTCAAGTTTTGGCAAAATAGGAATTATCTGTTCAATGGGTATGTCGTGTGCGGTTAAAAGTTGCCATAAGTAATACTGTTCAATACTTTCCCATTCAAGACTGGCATCTATTATAAACAAAAATTCAAATTTTTATTACAGATATATTATTTAATATAAAATTAAATAGTTTTCATACTTAATATCGATAAAAGCGAATCTTTTCTAAACATTTTAAGAGTTCCATTCATTATATGACTAATTAAGTCTTGTAATTGTGTGGAATCAATACAAGAGACGATTAGATTAAGAAGATCTGAATTTCCAATCGCTATGTTAGCAAATTGTGTGTATATATCAGGTATGAGATAACAAAACATATATACGTCATCGCTTTGGCACGACTTGAGATCACTTAAAAGACAACCCGTTAGGTCTTTACCCAAAGCTCTGACATATTCGCGATAGGATGACATCCGATTGTCGAGTGATTTAGTGGCTTTCAAATAATACATCATTGAATAGCCAATACGCGCATTGTTTGCCCCCATTTCGGCCAAGAGATTCAAAAGAGGAATTCGATTTGGATCTTCTTCGGCTGTTTGACACAAATTTCTGAACATCACAAACAAAGGCTTTCCAATTGAATCCTCCAGTTCTTCGTCATCAACAGAGCAGCCATTACTAGGAAATACTTTCTTTGACAGATCATCTTCTAAAATACACAATAGTATTATAGTTAAGTTTGAGACCATATCCTGATCGTTGTCTTCATCTTGCATTACAAACTGAACTAATTGTTCCATTGCTTCACAACGGCTCTCATTGTCTCTACAAATGTTTACAAATAAGGATTAAAAATATTTTATATATTTGTATAAACATTTAAAACATACTTTTCTTCGTATAATCTTTTAAGACAAGAACGCATATCTTCGCCACAAATTTGTTCAATTTGAGTCATTAAATCATTTTTCGAGAGACTATTTGATCCCAATATTGAATTATCTTTCAATGTTTTAGTCACTGTCTCTCCGTTCTTTGTATCGTTGCTATCAATTTTTACATCTTTAATAATATTACTATTAATATTACTGTTAGAATTTGTATTATTATTATTATTATTATTATTATTTCTTCGCGGCTTTTTAGCCACAGGTTCTTCTTCGTCATCACTAAATTTTGATTCATTTATATTAACTGTTGAATTATGATTTATGTTATTTTCTTCGCTAATCATTGAGTACTGATCTCTATTGTTGCCATCCATCACAATACCAGAGAGTTGTATTCCATCAGAAGTGGCACAAAAATCAGGAAATGTCTCCCTAACCATTGACCGAAGTTCACGATCAAGTTTATTGCTATCGAAAAGTGGTGATAATGACCTAAAAATAAATATTAATTTCAATAAAATAATATTAAATATAAATAAATAAAATTACTGTAAAACTCTTTTTTCAAGAATCTGTGTGAGAGATGTTTTGACTCCTGTCTTGACTAGCGATGAAAATGCGGGACAAAAATTATCAACAATCTGTAATAATAAATTAAATATATTTTAAAATGTTATTTAAATATAACTCAATATAACTTAAAGGTAGAAACCAATACAATTTCGTTTCGGGTTTAAATGAATTTTAGTTTTAAAATTTTTCATTAACTCTTAAATCATAAATTAACTTATTCTTTATATTAAATAACTTTTTTTAAATCTTATATAAAACGGTTTCTGAAATTGTTTCAATTCCAACCTCTATTATGACTTACTCTACAAAGAAAATCTAAAAGAGTGGCTGTAATGGCCGGGTGTGACCTAATGGAGTGATACATTACAAGAATAGCGGGTTCAATGTTCATAATGTTGTCGCGCTCTGCGTCATAGAAAAACCAGTCATAAAACAGGGATAACTTAGCATTAGCTGCGGCAACGTTTGAGGTACAAGTGGTTAATAGCCATCCAATGACAGCCCAACGGGGAATAATGTCTGAACAAAGCAATTCATTTGGTGGATGAATAACACCACATATGAAGCGAATCACATCACATCTCAATGTTTGACTCTCAGGTGTAGATAAATATTGTCTTTGAAACCAATCCTGATATCTCTTTTGTTGTCCAAACTTGACCTGAGAGGTCAAGAACACTATTTTTCGCTCCATATCTGGTGTTAAACGCGACTGAAAAAATCGTCGTGAAGTTCGTGTTTTCATTAACTGTTGAATTCCACCGAAATTTGGGGCCAAAGTCGTGGGATTTGTCAACAAATCTCTCCATATTTTCTCAAATTCCGGAATTCTCGCCACGTTTTGCAAAAGTCTCACTAAGTCTCTGCCGATTGTTATACAATCGACAAATTTCTCTCTGAGAAGTGATACACAAAAATCCACTTCTTTTTGTCGAAGTTTCGTTAAAAGTGAATTCGAATGATCACCGATTAGTCTTAAATAAGTATAGACAACATAAGCCACTAAAATAGGCATTTGTTCCAACCATTGATGATATTCAATAAATATGTCGACCACTGTCTCAGCTAACCATATATTCTTTGGTGATATATCGCCACCACTTATCTGACGCAATAAATTCATACACAACCCATCGGTTCCGACGATAGAGTTTTTGATCATTTCTTTTAAAATCCATATTAACTGCAAATTAAATGTCAATTAATGTTAATATAACGATAATATTATTACTTGTAATCAAATAATACATGATTTACCTGAGTTCTGGAAGAATCGTGTAATTTCTGATATTTTTCTAAAACTATTTGGTTTAATACATTAATCACATAAGACATGCCATCTCTGCTAACGTATGTCAGGTCTCTATAATGCTATTCAAACAAAATGTTTTTTAATTACCGGTTATATTAATATTTAAAATACACAATAATACACAAAATATGATATTTATATTTTGATATAATTCTTTATAATCTGACATCTAATTATTAGGTAAATATAAATATAATAATTAACTTTAAAAAAAACAACAATTTAAATACAGTACTTAAATTTACAAATAGAGGTATAATAAAATGTTCATTATATATATATAGGTTACTACTAACTCATAATAGCAATTGTAATTTGTTTGTACATATTGACGACTCTACCTACACCCAGCCCACCCCACGCCACCAGATATTATTTTATTGTATATTAATATTTTTCTAACACTAGGATTGCCTATAATAAATTAACTAAATGTTTTACTATTTATTTTTAAAAATTATTCCGATTAAAATATTGTTAAAATAATTGCAGCATTTACAGCAAATAAGTAAAAAAAATAAAAACTTTAAAAAATGTAAAATTTAGTTATATTAAAATATCATTTATATATTCCTCATATTAAATGTACAAATTTTATTGTCATTGTTGAAAATAAATGTTAACCTATATCTTATAAATTTGTTCATTAAATGATAATTTTGATTTCGATAGCATATTATGCAAAAATTAAGTCCAAAACTTAACTATTGGTACAAATCATTAATAATAATTTAATCATTAAATGTCTTACTCTCTGAGCATTGGATGGATCAGTAAGTATAGCGACCAATAAGCCGGTGCAGACCTCCTCGTGATTGATGGCATTCTTGATTACCTGTAATAAACAAATGTCAAAACAAAATGTTTTACTAAAATTCAATTAAAACATGAATGCTATCAAATGCTGCGGTCGTCCAAATTGGTCACAAAAAGCACATCCAAAGAGATGTTATTATAGATCCGTCTGTTTGTCTTTGACTGAGCATTCAATGTTCACTAATAAGTATTATTATGAAGACATCACTTACAATGGATGTGAGCTCTTCGTGACCTTCTTTTTCTGATTTACCACTTATTAAGTTTTGGACAAATAGTAGACATCTCTCGTATTTCTGTTAATTTAACATAAATTTAATGACAATTACTATAAATAAAAACTTTTTAAATCAATTATATTGAGTGCCATCTATTGGTGACAATCAATACAATGGATGCCATTGTTTAGCATGAGATCAATGGTAAGTGTGATATAAAAGACAAATCAATGGTAAGACCTCTTCGATGTCATCTTTGGCATCGATGGCAGTCAATGCCAGTAACTTATGGATGCATTGCTTGTTTGTGTCCATCATAGCTGTCACCAGACATTGTCTAAGCAGTCATAATGTAATGACGGTTCACATCAATAGTATGTATGGTTTGAGTGAATCCCACAAAATAACACACAATTCTAGTATTCATTCAATACATTCAATACATTCAATACACTAACAAACACTCACTCATTGTTCACTACAACTGACACCTAGTGTTCAATACTAACAATACTATTACATACTTATGTAATGCATTATACAATAGTATATAATACCCAACATTTAATTCTCTCCCGAAACACATTTCCCTAAAATTATTATTTTTACATTTTTACACAAAAATTAAACAACAAATATATTCAAACGATAACAACAACGCAACACATAATTTATAATGTAATTCATTATGTTATGTAAATAAAAATAAAATTGTAATATTTGAGAAAAAAACAATAAAAATTAAATTTACAATATAGTTAATAAAAGTAATTTTAATTTATAACACATTGTTTAATTATTTATTTTAATAATGGGCATCAATAAAAAATTAAATTATTTTTATAAATAATTATAAGAAAATATTTTATTTTCTGGGAATATTAAAAGAAATGTTGCTTTAAAAATGTCAAAACTCTAAATCTCTAAATACCTTTAATAGTACTGATATTTCATTCAAATAAATATTCATTTAGTATTTAGTTAATAAAAAAGTTCCCATAAATTAAATTATAAAAATATCACATCCAGGTTTTATTATAGTTAAAAATACAATTAAATTTTATATTTAAGATCTTAATTTATTAAATTAAATGTTTTTACACAAAATTTTATAAGTATAAAAAGTAAATTAAAATAAAAAATACTTTAAATATATCTGTGTATATCTTATAATAAATACTATATTTTAATATAGAGAAAATTTCAGAAATATAATAGATATAATTGATTTTTGATAAAATGTTTAAGAGAACAGATTATATCAAACTTTACAAATAAATATTAAAAACGTTATCCTTAAGTATGAATTTAACTAAAATTTTCATCAATTAAATAGTTGAATAAAAAATTTATTTAACTTTTAATTATAATATATTTGTATTAATACTTAACCAAATATTATTAAATTTTAACCTAAAATTTATTGTTTAACTTTTTATTTAATTTGTTAAAAATATTGAACAATCAAACTATAAATGTGTTTTTAACTCGTAAATGAAACAAAACTGAATTAAAAGTTTACAAATAATAATAAACTATTTTTTTATTAACAAAAGAAACATATTTTAAATCTATATTTTTATATGCTTTAGGAGTGGTCGGCATATAAAATGTTTTCAAATTATATATATTTTAATAATAGTTTAAAGGCTAACAACTTTGCTTGACATCAATGACTATAACCTCAAGTGTCAAAAGCTTTATAAACAGTTTGTCAAACATTGTTAATGCAATCAAATGTCACTTAATTTTTGCAATTATTATACCTATAGTACTCATTGCTGTAATACTGTATATAATACCTGTATTTATATAATATAGTAAAGTATTGTGTAAAGTATGCATTCATTCATTCAATTGTTTTATACCTTAACGGGTAATATACTGTATATACACGTAAATTACTATAATATTAACCGTAGGTTTTATGTTATTTAATAATTTTTGTTGTAATTTTTTTATCAAATTTATGTAAAAAATGTGGGGAAATATTTTTATTTATTATTTAGTATCAAAATATAAATATTTTAAACACAATTAAAGATTAATTTATATGATCGATAGTATATCGTATTAATTATAATATGATATATCAGAAATAATAGGAAAACTTTTTTCATTAAAACCCAAATATTTAAGACCCGATAATCGCGGGATTCATTGAAAATTAATTATTATTTATGAAAAATATAATTATTATAAGTTATACTACAATGTTATATTACAAGTGTATAATATAGAAACTATATAATTAAATTATAAAATATTAATACACAAAATAATTTGTATTATAACTATATTAGTATATTAGCCATTTTTTATAGAAAATAAATCTAAATTAAAATTTAGTCTGCACTAAATAAAAAATTATAATTTATATTATTATAATTTAATTGTTAATATTTAAAATTAATTAAAGATTATTAGTAAAAAATTATTTTTTATTAAAGCTATTATTATTTATTTTATTAAAGCAGTATTAAAGCTAACTTATATGACAACAGAATTTCATGTATGATTAAAATTATTAAAAGTATTAAAGTATTAAAGTTAAAAATAAATATTTTAATACTTTACTTAAAAATAACATAAAAATAAATAAAATTTATAAAAAATAATTAAAGTAAAGTACATAAAAAAATTAGATTTATTTGGGAACCGAACCCGAAATGTTTAGATTTGTTGTTTAGTTTATAACTAAAGCAAAACGTCATAGTTTTGTAACTATAGAAACATGTGTTAAACCAATGGTTTTGCACTTAATGTCAATGAAATCAATAGATTTGACAGACATTTACTAACATTTGGATCGAGAGATGTCTTGAAATGTTTTATTAATTTGTTTTGATTTAATTAATGATATAAATGTTGGACACATTGTCGATGAAAATGTGTGTTAATTATCACCATTTGTTGTGTTTGTTGTTATGGTTGACTCAATGTATGGCATCGGATGTCTTATCGGACGACCAGTCGATTGTCTTACCAATGCTTATGCCTGAAGTACAGCCAACTCAGGTATTACTAAATACATACCATATGTCCACTGATTACCACTTTTTCATTATTTATTTCAAATATATTTCGCTATTTAATCGCAAATCAATTATAATAAATAAATTGATTAACATTTTACTCATAACTCATATCAATTGAAATCAATAAATATGTTTAAACATCAATTGAATTGTTGATAATAAATATGTTAAATACGGTATACTGTATTTAAATTGATTTTCTAATACTAGGATATATTATCAATGATTTACAATTAAACTCATATTTAGTTATTAATATAAATCTAGATATTTATAGTTACAAAAAATATATGTAAAATATTTTGTAATAAGTTTTTTAGATTCATTTAGTATATGAATATATTTTTAAAAATGCAAAAAATTATAATTATTTATTTATTTGCTTATAATTTGTTTATTTTTAAATTAAATTATTTTTAATTAATTGATAATATTGTCGATAAAACAATAATACAGTACAGTATTTGCATATACATAATGTACAGTATATTAGATGTATTTGTATTATGTTTAATGTATTTCTAACTAAAACTAGTTTTTTAACAAAACATATTTCAATAGTTTTATTGTCGTTTAAAACATTTTAACAATAATTGTTTGATGTTATGCTTGTTGTAAATTGCAATATAATGTTAAATTTGCAATCTTTTAAGGTTTTATACTACATAATTGAAATATACTATAGGATTAAATTCATAAATTATACGATTATAAATTACTGTATATTAATTATATTGAGTATTTAATTGTTAATTTATGTAGCGTTATCTAACTAGCTAATTAAAACAAATAACATTAAATATTTTTATATTTATTAATTCATTATAATTATGAAAACAATTAATTTAAATAAATCTATATTAAATAATATCTCATATATATATATAACAATAATTTTAAATTAGATAATAAATATAGTATTTGTGAGATTATGTGCTTACAGTAGTCTAAAATATTACGAATGTATAAATGTTAGCTAATTCTAGTAAATATTGATAATAATAATAAAAAAAACTTCAAATAATAGTAAATATTTTTTAATTCCGAAAATATTAAATTTTTATTATAGAAAGAGACATATCTTTGTACTGCATTTAAGATGCATTCCCGGGAACACCGATATATAGGTATGTAATTTCAAAAACAATTTGACAAATAATTTGAAAAATTTTAATTATTTAAATTACATGAATGATTAATTACAAACTCATCATACTTGATAATATTTAAAAAAAATTGTATTTAGTTTATATTCCCATAATATCTTATTACTGTATTAATATATTGATTGCCAGTTATCTTGTTTTATTTTAACATTAATTTTTGGCAATTAGTTATTATATGTATTTAAAAGTATATACTAAATGAAAAAATATCTACTTTACATTAGTTAGATTAAACAAAATTAAATTAGAAATTTAAATATTATTATAATAAATTTAATTATTGTATATGATTTATAAAAAATAAAACACAATTATTTAGTCATAATAATTAATGGCAAATATTAATATAAATAGTTGAGTTTCAACCCAATGCGACAATGAATACGGCACATCATATCCTGATATATGGCTGTAAAATACCCGGATATCATGAAAGAGATACACCAAGAATTGTTTGGGACTGCGGAGAGATGGCTAACTCAAAGTCTGAATATATAAGAGCCCCTACGTGTGCGTCGGGATCTGAAATCATCTACGCCTGGGCTATGGATGCGCCCGCTTTAGTCCTACCCCAAGGTTGGCACGTATTACTATTACGTTTACTATTATATTTTTATTAACAAAATATATTTAACTTACCGTAAAATCGTCTTTTTCCCCCATATGGAAATAAAAAAATAACATTTTCATACAGTAAAAAAAACTCGCATTTTTTACCACCCATAGTAAATTAAACGTGTCTTTGGAGAAAAGCAAAATTGGGGGAAATAGGGAACTGTAATGACCGATAATTAATAGTAATTTATTAAAACCGGTATATTTAGATATTAGCTGTAATTAATTAATTAATTAGTTATAACAGTGTTTAACAATAAATGACATTTGTATACATTTACAGTATTTTTACATATTATAAATCAGTAAATAGATAGCATATTGAAATGGTTTGGAACAACTAGAGACGTTCAAATACAAGGGGTGGGAAATCATGAGAATATATATAAAACAGGGGGGAAATTATTATTTAAAGTAAAAACTACTTTTTCATATGGTACAAAACTCGCATTATTCCCCATGACTTACATATTTTCATATTGGGAAAAATATAAGATTTAACGGTACAATAAAATTATATTGAAACAATTAATACTACTGTATTAATTTTAATATAATATTAATGATAATGTAAGTTAAAAGCAAACAATAATACATTTTAATTAATTATTAGGCGTAGGTTTTAAAGTTGGCGGAGACACAGGTGTCAACTATTTAGTACTTCAAGTTCACTACGCAAATGTCGACAAATTTATAAGTAATTTATTTTATATATTTTAGTTTTTAATTTAGTTTAATTGATATTTTATTTAATTCAGATGGAGGTTTTGATAATTCTGGCATTATTTTGAAATTGTTGCCACAAAATACTAAAAAGTAAGAAATTTTTATCTGAATTGAAAGTAATTAAATTTTTTAATGAAATAGAGTCAATAAAAGAGCCGGAGTGTTATTATTAGGAACTGGAGGAATGATTTCTAACAAATCTTTAGGTTTGCATAAATTACATGAATTAGTTTTGATAATAAATATTAATTTATAAACAATTTTCTAACAGAGCATATGGAGACTGCCTGTACTATTGATGAACCTTTAGAGTTACATCCGTTTGCATTTAGGACACACACCCACAAACTCGGTAAAGTAGTGTCGGGCTGGAGAATCACACCCGACGGTCGATGGACTCTTGTTGGACGACATAACCCTTTGAAACCTCAGGTTTACTAATAAATGACAAAAATGTCGAAATCATAGAATTATTGAAAATTAAATAACAAAATATTAATAAATAAATTATTTGTCAGATGTTTTATTCGGTGAAAAACAAGGATTTGGTTATACGAGAAGGAGATGTAATGGCTGCCAGATGTACAATGGATAACTATTTACCAAATATTATAAGGATTGGATCTACTGGTGATGATGAGATGTGCAATTTCTATATGATGTATTATGTTAATGGCGATACTATTCTCGAAAAGAAGTATTGTTTCACAGCTGGTCCACCCTTTTATTATTGGTCTACTGATCCAATTATACCTAACGATGGCTATGTTCCCAAAACAATTGATATCGAGGCCAGTCGTCTCAGTGAAGACGAACAATAAAACATTGATAACAATCATTAAACGACAGATAAAGTTGATAACAGTAAGGCATTGCAGTATATATTTATTTCTTTATATAATTTGTATTATAAGTGTATTCATTGTATTTATTGATATACCGGTACTTATATTAAGATTATTATTATTGAATTTGGTTTAATTTTATTTTTTTATCCCAATTGTTTTTTATGTTTATAAATTTGTTATTTAATAATGATATTTTATTTACTTTTTAATCAGTCTTTAAAGTGTATTATATTTGGTTGCTAATCTTATTTTTACTCTAATTGTTTATATTTATTATATTTAACCAAAAATTTGATTTCCCATTGTCTGTCAGTATTTGTCTTTCAAAATATATAAAAAAAACAATCATTAATAGTATTTTATATTATTGTATAGTTGTTTGTGCCAATAGTTTAATTTGTGTTATAAATTATTATATTATGTATACAGTATATGATACCATACTTTTGTTAAATAATGTTATGAATATTCATTTAATATTTTACATTATGTAATAGTTATTAATGGTATTATCTCACTATTGTTTTTCTTAATTTATTAAAAATGTTTAAAATGTATTTATAATTACAATATTTGATATTTAAAATGAATATTTACCGTATATGTAATAATTCTAGTCTTAATAATTATCAAAAAATATATTACGGTACCTATACTTTACGGTATTAAAAACATTGTATTCAAATGAGATCTTTTATAATTTACGAACCAAATGTTGAATTTTCCAATTTTATCAAATTTTTCGCTTTTCTAAATATAAAATATATTTTTTGCAAACATTCAATGAAATAAACAAATTATTAATTTTTCAATAAAAGTGAAAAATGTTGACAAATGTACGATTATATTATCCAAATTGTATTTATTAAAGACTTATTATTATTTTAACTCTAATTGTAAACACAAATTCTCAATTGTTTTATTATTTGTTTTTCATTTTTATTAAATTGTATTAAATTGAAATAAATTACAAAATTTCATATAACTTAAGCCATCTTATTAACAATTGTTGAATGAAGTGATGACAACTGAGTCGTCCATTTATCTAAAGCATTATAACGGGCAGCACTGTTAGTACTTCGGTTGAGTTCAAGCACTTGGTTTACTTGATCTATCCGTCCCTCAATTGTACTAAATTATAGATAAAATTTAATAATCTATTTTTAGACTGAAATCAAAAGAGTACTCACTTATCAAGAATACAGGAAACTAATAGATTTTCGACTTCACTCACATCTATATTTAATTCCTATTTAATTAAAAATAACAATTAGTTATAACATTTAACATTACATTCATTACCTTTGAAATAAACGGAATTTGGATTCTAGTGTAGGGTTTAATTAGTTTAATGAGAACCTGTGTTCGTATATTTCGCAATAAATCTGAATAATAATGTTTTATAAAATTAATTACTGGTAAGTGTTAATAAATGTTTGATTCATACCTTCAATATGTTCCTTAATAAAGGGGTCGTCCATAATAGTCCTCCTATTGGTCCTCAAAATCTTCTCAAAGTCGTTAATATCATTGTTTTGATAAGCACTGACCAGATTAGTCATTGCAAGAATTTCTGAATCATTTTTATATGGTTTGGCTTCTTGTGAATCAAATGGATTGATCCCAGACTTCATTAACATATTTGCCAAAACCAGATATTTAAGACAAGTAGTTCTTCGTGGACTTCCTGACTCGTCATAGTTCTTAAAGGCCTCAAAGAAGTCTGTGTGTGCCTTCTCGTACTCTCCTTCTCTTAAATGCATTTTTCCACCGCATTCTACAGTCATTTAAAAAGTCAAACATTCACTCAATTTACCGGTAATGACAACTATCTTATGCTTTAATCATACCTCTAATGACTCCCATAATTAACGGGTGAGGAATTGCAGACTTTATATGAAGTGATTGTTCATAAAGTTTCTAAACATATCATTAAATACCAAATATAATCAAAGACTGTAATCCATTATTTCGTAATCAAACCTTAAGTTTCTTATTATTCTTCTGTTGCGTATACATCTGAATCTCCAGAGCATAAATCTCAAGAAGTTGAGTACCTTTTTTAAGATCATCAGTTCCCTCATCCGTTTGACACGATTGATGCAATTGTTTCAATATTTTCGACAATTTGTTGAACTCATTTCTGTCATAATATAATTTACCTAATTTTGTATTTGTCTTAAACCAAAGTCTATCATTCTTCGCGTCTTTTAATGCATCTAAAGTTGTTTCGTAGAATTCTTGCAACAGTTCCATCTATTTGTATATTCAAATCAGTGATAATGCAATCAAAGACAAAGTCATATCATTGAATGGATACCTGTTTTGAAGTGGAAATATAGTCCAGAATAGAGTTGATTGACTTTTCCGAGTAATTTCTTGTGACAGCATTCTTGATGTAAGTTAACAGTTGTTTATATCTGATCATCATTTCTGCGTAATTGCTCTACAAATAACAAAATCTATTAAATTAATCGACAAATCAATTAAAAGACATTACAAACCAGTTTGAAGTTAATTTTGATCATTTGTTTCAGTGCTTTGAATCCCCACTCATTCTTCTCTCCTCCGGTGGCCTCTAAGTCTAGTACTTTCTGAAAGCTATGGAGTGAACCCTTGGGATCTTCTTCTTTCTGTGACTTCGAGTTGTAGTATTGGTTCTCCAGATCTACATCTGGTTCTGAATTGCTGTCCTCTGAATACTCCTGCAATCAATCCATTAGTTTTGTTGTCAAATAGCTGTCAAATGTCTCACCAGATCGTAGTCTTCTTCATTTTCATCGTCCATGAAGTCGTCCTCCGCGTCCGACATTGTCATCAATTTGTTGATCAATTGATCTCAAAGTCAAATCAATTCTTGCATTAAATCAATGATTGTTTTCAATCAAAAAACAATTCAATCGCTTATTGTTTTCACTTTCAAAACGTGACATCAATTTAATGGAGAACTCAAACAACAATTCATTCATCAATTATGTCAACAATTGATGAATAAATTAATAAATTATTATAATATAAGAGTTACTTATAAAATGTGTTGTTATTTGTGGACAAATATCTTAATGTAATTGCAATCAAATATAAGATATGATATAATATATAAAATTAGTTGAATTTATGTACAAAACATTTACTTTATATTTAAAAATCAATTTAATTACTAATAATAATAATAATAATAATTGTTATGATTTACTAATAGATTTAATCATTTTTAATGATTCAATACATAAAACACGATTAGATATGTTTACAGTAAACAGTAATTATCATTTAGAGCGCAAATATTGAGAGATTAATATATGTTTGGTTAGTATTGATTGTTATCGACAAACAATCTATTGATTAATGATATTATAAGACATAATTAGATGCAATCAATGGTAACATATGAATGATATGACAATTGATTGCAAATGATGTGATGCCGTGTAAAGACCTCTACATTAGTAAAATGATGGCAAATATGGCGCCATTTATGTGAATGTAATGACTGTTCAAATGCTTTCAATAAAACTATTGAAGACTTGTTTGCAAAACAAGTGTTGAAAACAAACCATCGATTGATAACTGATTTGAATGTCCGAAGACTGACCACAAGTGATATGTCGACAGCTATTGATTCATCACATCTGTTGACCCAAATGTTGGGCGACGAAGAGCTAACAAAAACAATTAAAAAGAGTCACATTCTTCTGGTGGGCGCCGGAGGTATCGGTTCCGAAGTGATTAAGAATTTGCTGTTAATGGGCTTCGAGAAGATAAAAGTGATTGATTTGGACACCATTGATGTCTCTAACCTCAACAGACAATTCCTCTTTAATCGACAACATGTCGGCAAAAGTAAGGCTGAAATAGCGTCTCGAGTGGCAAAAGACAACTTCGGGCACAACGACACACTGACAGTGGAACCGATTCACGACTCAATTCAGAGCCGCGATTATGACATAGATTTTTACAAAGAATTTACTCTTGTGATCAATGCTTTGGACAATAGAGCCGCAAGAAGTCATGTAAACCGCATGTGTTTGGCTGCAGACATACCACTGATAGAGTCGGGATCTGAGGGCTATATGGGTCAAGTGTTCCTCATTAACAAACATATTACCCAATGCTATGAATGTGAAGGACCCAAACAAGACAGTCGTACGTATGCCTCGTGTACTATACGTAACACACCATCCCTTCCCATTCATTGCATCGTTTGGGCCAAACATCTGTTCGCACAACTTTTCGGTGAAGTGGACGTCGACAACGATGTCAGTCCAGACATGAATGATCCAGAATTGACTGAAAATAAGACAAATGAAAGCAATGTGACTAATGGTAATGTTTTTTTCAAAATTACAATTTACTGATTTGTAATTTGGTTTTTAAGGCAAAACTCGTTTACAGTCGACGAGAGATTGGGTTCAGAAGTGTGATTACAATACCAAAGAAGTCTTCGATAAGTTGTTTCAAACAGATATCGAATATTTGTTAAAAATGGATAAATTATGGGAATCGAGACGAAAACCATTTTCTATAAATTATGATAAAGTAGTTAACAATGAGATTCAATTTGATTCACTTGAAGCCACCAGTAGTACACACGGTCTGAATGGTTCAACTGATAAACCGGAACTTAAAGACCAAATACTTTTGTCAATAAAAGATTGTTTGGAAGTTCTCGATACTAGTATTAAGACATTGAAAGACCGGTTAAAAACTGAAAATTTTTTGGTTTGGGATAAAGACGACGAACCGGCCCTCGACTTTGTGACTGCCGTTTCAAATCTTAGATCGTTTTGCTTTCATATTAGTAGAAAATCAAAGTTTGACGTGAAATCAATGGCCGGCAACATAATACCCGCCATTTCATCTACTAATTCAATAGTCGGTGGACTAATGATATTACAGTGTCTTAATGTTTTACGAAATATTACTAAACGTGACTCAGGAATGGCTAAAGAAGAAGCCGATAAAGAATTGTATGACTCGTGTCGTCACATATATCTTCGCAAAGTTGGTCCTTCGGCTAAGAATCTGATTGCTTCTTATCAATTGGAAAAACCAAATCTTAATTGTTTAGTCTGTTCTTCATCGGTGCCTGAAATTGAAATCAGTCTAAGGCTTAGCGAAACTTTGATGACAGACTTTATCGATCAAATCATTTATAAGAAATTACATTATGTTTGTCCTGATATTACAATAGATGGTACTTCTGTTATACTTTACACTAAAGAAGATTACGATGACATGGATAACGAAGCGAGAGAACGATTTGAGAAGAAATATCTATCAGATTATAAGGATGTGAGCGATAAAACACGTGTTTCTGTCAACGATTTGCTACAAGACTTGCAAATTATTATAACATTAAGAGATGTTGCGATTGATAAAAACGAAAACGACGGCCTCTTCTATAAAATGGTTATAACTAAAGAAGGAATTACAAAGAATGAACAAACAAATGATGAGACTATAGAAGATTCAAATGAAAACAAAGTAGAAACAGACTCGAGATCTGATGACATGATAAACGATGACGTTATTCAAGTAGAAGATGAGAACCAAAACAATGAGTCGCCACAAGTTGAAGGTTTGGATCCAATGAATGAGGCGAATGAAGTAGAAGAGGTAACCATCAGTGACTCTGATAATGATAGTGTTATAATTGATGATAACGAGGATAGCGATATACTTGATATAACTGAAGTAAATAAGAGAAAATTAGATAACATTGTTGAGGACGAGTCAACCGCCAAACGGCTTAAGAATTAAACAAATATTTGACTCTTTATATATATCTTTAGTTATTTTTGATTATTTATAAATTTCTTTAATTTTATAACTAATTTATAAGATTATTAGATAAACATTGATAAACAGGATTTCAATTGTTAATTATACTTATCTTTAATCAACATTTATTCATCTTTTGTAAACTTATGACTATATCTGTAATTTATTTATTTGTTGACATAAATATTGAATTGCATTATAAAATTGTTTATAAAATATATTTTAATTCATCTAAAATGGTTTGCAAAGGACAACGATTGAACACTTTGTCTATTTTCAGGTAATTAATGGCTTTAAGAGTAAACTCGGGGATTTCAACGATAATATAATTTCAGTTTAAAGATATTCATTGATATCAAATCAAACCATCAATTGTGTCAATACATACATTATATTACAAGATATTTGAATTTATTGCCAAAGAGTACTAATAGTTACTATTTTAATAAAATTTCTTATTTACCATCATTTCTACTTAAAACTGTCAACAAATTAGTCACAAAATAAGATATATTTGTATTTTCATAATGTAATATAATTTTTTACAAATGTTATATATATTTATTTGTTATATTTCAAAATTAAAAATCGCTTTTATAGATTTTAATTTGTTTTGATTTAATATTTTTATTAATTAATTTATTTATTATATAAAATTTGATAAAATGTTAAAAAAATAATAATTACGGTACAAATAATGTAAATTAAATTATAATTACTATTTAGATCTACGGCACAATAGCATTAATATACAGTATATGCTTAATATTATACATATTATGTTTGAAATACAGTACAGTATATTCAATATTAATAATTAACATAATGTAATCATTAAAAACTACAGTGAGTTTTGATTTGTAACTTCAATGTGTTTTTGAAATATTAATAATATTAACAATATATAACATATGGCGGATCACTGTATATGTGTATATGTAGTGCACATGTATTAATAGTACAGTACTGTCTGTATATTTGTATATAAAAATTATAACATAACTTTAATAGACATGATTTAAATATGTCATTAATATTACGTCATTTATAATAAATAATATACCCATGCTAATTTATCTATTTTTTCAATATTTCTAAATTATTTGGTTTATAAATTATAATATCTCTAAAAAATAATTTAATTAAATTCTAGTATAAATTTGCTATTTTTTTATAAATAATTATTAAAAATTATTTAACATTTTATTCATATTGTTTTTTACAAATCAATTACCGTATAAATGAATAATACAATTACTAATAAAAAGACAATTGGGATCAATGTTAGTGATATATGCTATGAAGTCAATAATACTACTGTCTGTCCATTGATTGACAACGATTTGGTCAATAATTTAAGTTCATTACTAATACCGGGATATTTGTTGATTAAGAAAAGTAGCGATTCTTCGATATATGAATTACAGCAAACAGTTATGCAAATTGATGTCCACAACAAAGATCAACAAAATTTGACATTTCAAACAACGGAACCGTTAAATGTGACAAATAATTATACCTTAAATATATTAAGTGGTGATAATACTAGCCATTTAACAGTTGAAAATTGTAATACAAATGAAACAATTACTCGAAGTAATAATAATTGTTCGGTAATTCATAAAAGCAATCAAATTAATGATCAAATTAATGATCAAATTAATGATCAAATTAATGATCAAATTAATGATCAAATTAATGATCAAATAGCTATATATTCAAACAAATGGTTAACTAGTCGTCAAATTGACACTAATTGTCCCGTTTGTGATAAACAACTTAAGAAATCATATCTTAAAGATCACATGAAAATTCATGAAAATCACAGACCATATGAGTGTCTCATCTGTGGAAAGACATACAGGTCTAACATTATATATATAAATATATATATATATATATATATAATTATTATTATATTTATTTGTTTAGATGGCCATCACTTTTGAGAAACCATAAAAAGACACATTTAAGTGACAATCCATTCACTTGTCATATCTGTAACCTTCGCATGTCATCCAAGTTTTCAGTCCAACAACACATCCTTAAAATGCATGGAAATGAAGACAAAAAATATGAATGCAATAAATGTGACAAAAAATATGCGACAAAACATCAGCTAAAAGCTCATCATAAGTATCACACAGAAGATATGACACGGTTTGAGGACTATTACTTAATCTTACAGTATATTAGGTCTAATACTTTATCATATTTATGTTTGCAGACAATGTGAATATTGTGGTAAAGTCTATAAACATAAGACATCGCTTGAACGACATCGACGGTTACATAAAGGAGAACATAATAGTCAGGATCTGAGACTCAAATGTTCGGTCTGTGGACTCATTTGTCACAACAAAACCCATTATACGGCACATCAACGCATTCACACCGGTAGTCATAATTACAATTACCGTAGTTTTGTCGCCAAAATTTATATAACTAATCAATTTGTTATTATAAAAGGTGAAAAACCATTTGTATGTCTAGATTGTGGTAAATCATTTCGTCAGGTAATTAAACTGATTATACAATTTATCATTATTTTCTAATATATGACTATTTAATAGATCGCACCATTAAATGTGCATAAGATAGTACACACAGAGTTAAGACCATATAAGTGTAATAAATGTGATCAGACTTTTAGGTGTCGGTCTAATCTTCAGTTACATTTGGATCACCATTTGGGACACAAAAGACATACTGTAAGTAAGATTTGACTAATTGTAAGATTTTGATTAACCAAATCTCATATTTAGTGTTCACATTGCGATCGCAAGTTCTTCTCCTATCCTAATCTGTTAAAAGTGAGTTAACGCTAATTTAATTTTTAAAACTTTTAAGTATTAACAGTATTTAAGTTATACGGATTAGTTCCGTATATAAAATTTATATAAAATTCAAATTATGTATTTGTTATATTAAAATTCATAAATAATTTTCAACAATATTTCAAATAAATGACTAAATGGTATATATTTTTTTGAAAACAGCACATCCGTCGCAATCATTTGGGTTTACGACCTTTTAAATGTCATTTGTGTCAAAACAAGAGTTTCTGTGAGAAACAAGAACTGCAAAATCATCTGAAAGTTCATTCAGACATCGATTATAGAGATAAACTAATTGAAGATCTTATACCATAAGAATTTATTACAATAATTACTTATAGTCAGTGATGTGTCCATACCTTCACAATATAAATTTACTGGAAATAGTTTTGATTAACTCTTTTATCAAATATGACAATCATTGACAAACTACCGGTAATAATAATTTGTCAAAAATTACCGACAATTAAACTATTAAGTTTAGTCATTGATTAAAATATATTTGTAATTATATATACCTGTACTCTATATTTTAATTATTAACTAACACTTCATTTTAGTTTATATTATAAATTGATTAAACTTTATTTAAATAAAAATGAGTTAATAGATCATAAAATAAATTAATAATAAGTAAATATAATTTATGATAATCTTTAAGTTGTTTATAATAACCGAAGTAATAAATCATTAGATGTTTTAATTCTAGAGAAAAGATGAAATTAAATGATAAAATAATAAAATAAAAGTAATATTCATCTACAGTATACTTACACCTCAACAGTTTGTGAACCGATGAGGTCATTGATGTGATACTCAACACTCAATTTCATATTCTTTGGATATCTCTTTTTCATGAGTTCTGATTTTAAGATTTCTTTGTATTTGTTTTTCTTAATGATTGAAATCAAAGTATTTCTTCCTAAATGAAAAGTTTTTACAAATTCTCCGACATTTGGTATCGACACTAATAGTTGGCCGACATTGAGATGTCGGGCCAGTAGTCCGATTCGCACCAATTCAATGATATTTTCTTCATTAAATTGGTACTCATTTTTCAAAACATCACATGATATATGTGTTGAATGTTTTTCATAAATAACTTTCTTTAGGTATCTCTCTGTTTATGAAAGCATTTCAATACATTAAATACAGAGTTTTTAATAAATGTTATTAATATGAATACCAGTGATAATAGTTTTGGGACAACACTTGTCAACTAACTCTTGAAAATCGGACATCAAAACAACGGCCACTTCGTTGTCATCGGCTGTGGATCCGAGTCTAAAGAGACGTATATATGAAGATTTAGACCAAGTATTCTGTAATATATAAAACACTTTGAATTAGTTGTGATAATTGAGTACAAGATTATGTCAAACCAGTTGTCTATCAATGAGTGTCTTATTATGACAGATGGCATACAATTGATGTCTCCAAACAATCGGAACAATCTTTTGACTAAACTTTTCGGTTGCAAACAATGACCGCAAGTAATCGTAAGCTTTGGAGACATCACTGAAGTCTATATTTGAATGAAACAAATGATCAAAATATTGATATAATTTTTAGTATTATTTGATATAAAAAACCATTAATGGTATCAGTCTTTGTCCTCTTGTTGTGTGTCCAACACGTGTCCCGTGATTTGCGTTTATTAATCAATGCATTCATTACTCATTCAAATCAATTAACACGTGTTTATAGTATAAACTTTATATTGTAATTAATATTGAATTTGTCATTCAAGTGATTATTATGATTGCAATAACTTATTGATATATTATTTCAATGACAACATATGTACTGCAATGCCATCTAATAGACATTCATTGAATAAAATCTAAAACTTTTTATTTTAGTTATAATTTTTGCTCTAAAATAATATTAGACTAAAATACTGTACAATAAAAAAATAGAAAACTTTTAAATAACTATATTTTACAAACTTTGATAATTAATCTATGAATATATCTTTAATATAAAGTATTTTTATTATAATATATTATATTATTTAAAATTAGTAAATTACTTAATTAATAGATTATCAAGTTTTATAATTATTTCATTAATATAGTCAATGTTTACAGAAATAAAAACACAGTTTATTTTACTACTTTAACTGTCCTTATAGTACAGAATATAAAACTTCTTGAAAAATAAATAACTAAAATAGTTTGTTGTAATTATTTTTAACAATAATTAAAAATTATTTGAGAAAAACTAATTTATGAAATATTTATTTAATATATTGGCAATAATTTTTAAAAGTTATTATTTAAATTACTGCTTAATCTAAAGGAATATTTAATCAGTTAGGTTATTGCAATTTAAACTATTATTTTATTAAATTATTTTAGTTATTTCTAATATTTATTTAGTATAAATGAAACTTGTTGGTGCTCTTTGTAAGTTATAAATCAAATAAAAATTAATTAATTGATTGGTATTATAAATAAGAATTAAATTATATAAATTTATATTAATATAGAAATAAATAAATAATATGTAAAACTAATCAGCAAATAGAAAAAATGTAATTTTTGAATTAACAATTACAAAGTTGAAAATTAGTGTAATAATCAAAAGTATCATTACAAATGTTGTTTAAATTAGTATTGTCTTATATTTGTAGAAATTGATACATTATATAACAGTGATAGTTGGCTACAAATAACAAAATAATGGCACCATTTGTCACAAAATGATGATTAATGAGAATGGATGTAATGATGGTTTGAATAGTAGGCGAGAAAAAATAATTGTTAGAAATTATATCGCAAAGTAAATGATTTGTTGATTTGAGGCCAACATATAAAATGAATGCATTTTCATGAAATGCAAAACTACTTATCATCCATCAAATAACCACATTATAGATCAGTTATAACAAACATAACACTACTATAACTATACCATAACTACTGAATATATATAATATTCAATAGCACTTTCTTTGACTATACTATCGAAAAGTTGCATTAAAAAGGATCGATATTTGCTTTATATATGATATAACAAGTTATTGGTTTTGTAGTCAAGTGTTAAAGTTGTCTATAGAGTTGTTGCTCTCGAGTGATGTTTTGGTCGATCAGATGATACACATAATAATAACATACTATAACTTAGTTATGTTATATAACTATAGGAATAGTATATAAATTGTGGTCAAAATGTTCTCATGTATGCCTCCAATAGTTGGAGTGGACCGTCACGTATGCTCTAACCGTCAATTGTCCGTTTGCTTTGTAATACGATATGCCTGTGGGAGAACAGGGATGCAGAGGGATGCAGAGGGATGCACAGGGAAAATACAGAATATTTTGTTTCGTTGAGGGAATTGGGAGTATTATATAACTAGTTTAGTACTATTACTACTACTACTACTACCAGTACATCAATGGCTATAATGGCTTTAGTGGTCAACACCTAACTCTCTAATACAATATGTGATCGACAAACAACTGGTACTCTTTGTTCTCCAATCATACTCTTTGCCATAGTTTGGTGATCACTGACTGACTGACTGACTGACACTCCAAGACTATCATCTCATATAATGTTTTTACAGTCAAATCTATGAATTGATAATTGAGTTACTTTAGTAAAGCTGTTGTGCGCTAAAGCAAACAGTCATAACATTATCAGTCATAACATGTACTCTAAAATCTCATAACAGGCTTGAAATCAATTGAAATCTAGTGTTTGCTTTTTGCTGTCATCCCTCTAATGACACAATATTATAACACTATAACACCTAACAATCGTAATCATAATTCCTTCAAAAATATATAGTATTTGATAAAATCATAGCTCTCTTTGAATAGCAATTTGAAGAGATGTCATGACATGAAAGATATGTCAATACATTACCACAAATCAACTAATAAGATAATCTATTTATGAATAGAATATAAGGTTTAAGTATTTAAATCAAATACCAGTCAACTCAGTCAAACATTTACAAACCAAACCAATTATACCATAGATTTCAATTTCATTTAACACTAAATCTATAACAATATAGCATTTATTTATATATTTTCATCAATATTACAAAATTAGATTTTTCTAATGTTAAAAATATGAGTCACACTTTTCTATTATATTTTATTATTAATATTAGAAAATATTAATCTAAAAAATAAATAAAATTGATTATTATTTTATAAAATTTTTATTTTTTAGTTTAAACAAAATAATCTGGTTCTAAAACAATTAATTAATTTATGATTACTTACTAATAAATTTTGAAGATATAAAGCTCTGATATATTACTGAAATAATGTTGTATTAGATTTAATGAAACTCTTGTATTGTAATCCATGAATTGACAATCTTTGAAAATAATGATTTTATAGTCTCTATGATAGCAAATAAATAATTAAAAGTTATATAAAAAATGTAATGAGAAGTTATATAGCTGTTGGAAAGTGTCCATTATTTATGCCTTTTCTAGTGTTTGAACTAATAAGAGAATGTCTGTCCGTGTAATTCATGGCATTTAATGTATGACACATACAATCAAAAGACCTCAATCTTGCATTTGTGTCTATAATATGTGATGTGTATTAAGTGAACATTTTTGTAGAGTTTGTAATGCAATATGGGTTATAACACATTGGCATCACATTAAAAGTGATTGTATACGGACTCAGAGTTACTCTGCATTCAACTATCATTATAAGGGAGGCATTTAAGTCCCACAACAATAGGATCGGTAATTCAATAGCAGTCGATGTAATGCATTGTGTGTCCAAAAAACGAAAATAAATTTTTGCGCCCAAAGGAGTCCCTCCGCAACCCATAACCACATTATATTCAAAGGTCTCTAACCTTTTGACGATGATTTAGCTAACACTCACACACAAACACTCACTCACTCACTCACTCACTCACTCACTCACTCACTCACTCACTCACTCACTCACTCACTCACTCACTCACTCACTCACTCACTCACTCACTCACTCACTCACTCACTCACTCACTCACTCACTCACTCACTCACTCACTCACTCACTCACTCACTCACTCACTCACTCACTCACTCACTCACTCACTCACTCACACACACACACACACACACACACACACAACAAACTCATACATTCTATACATTTATAGTATATACTGTATTATACACACATAACATACATATATGGATGTACTTCTTAGAGATAGAGAGACACAAATACTTTACTCTTGAAGTTGTGTCATATTTTGCAATTGTGTGCCAACATTGTGACCCTAACACCATAAAGTCAATGATATATGTATGCCATAGGAGAAGCCAATGAATGGCAATGTGCCTCAAATTAGCCGTCCATACAATTTAGGAAATACTGTGAACGGCATTACGTTTCCGGTTCAGTGCTAACCGGATGACAATCTCTGTCTAACTCTCCCTTTACTCCACTCACTACTCATTGGTCTCATATCGATGCCATCAATCCATACAATACTTTATTTTCAATGGCATATCATTTTCTCATGATATCACAAATTTCTATGTAAATTTAATATAAAGTATAATATACTTTATTTCATTAACAGTTTCAAACATTTTTTTCGGTCAAATAAAAATTAAATTTTTTTAAATACTTAATTTTAATTAAATTTTAATATGAAATTTAATAAAACAATTATAGATTACTTATTCAATAAAGATTTATCAAAACATTTGTGACTTAAATAATATTCAAATAAGATTGTGTTTAATGATGTGAATACAAATCAAATACCGTTTATATTAAATTTATTATATAATTTTGTGTCATAAATAAGACAAGACTGAAAACATTATTGAAAAGAGACAACTATTCAAATGTGATTTATTTAATTTATATGCGATTAAAGCTTTAACTCATATACAGTACAAAACCTACAGTACTTTTATTATTAGTAACAATTAAATTATATCAACTATAAAAGTATAATTATTTTGTATACTACCACTACTACTACAAAATTATTTAAAATTGATTTCTGTTCTTATAAATTATTATTTAATTATTTGATGTAAACTAATGTTTTTTATAAAGTTTGTATATATATTATTTATTGTACAACATTTGAATTGTATTTTAAATAATTATATTTATTTATGCAATTAAAACAAAATTAAAAAGTAAGATACAAATAATATTCTGTAATTTGAATTATTTACTTATTATTTATTATTTACAGTACTTTATTTGTAATATAGTTGCAATCCTTATACCAGAATAAAAATTACTAAAATTAACTTAAAAATATAAAAACTGATTTAATTGTATAAATTAACATTATGGCTAAATCTATTAATATAAGAGAATATATGATATATTTTAAGAATTTCTCAATAAGTAAACAACTTTTTTTAAATACAAAAATATGTTAAAAACGTTGATTTATACAATATATACTTATAATATAACATTTTGTCGGTTTTTATGTATGTGTTGTAAATGATGAACAGTAATGTAATGTAATGGTACGCACCTGTAAATTGTTAACCTGAGGGCAAATTGAGATCGTGGTTGGGCTCAGTTTGTCGGTCGTGACACTAACATAAAGACCTTACCACCAATTCTGGGCAATTATAATGTTAACCGTGAAGTCAAGTCCTAACCTTTGAACCCTCGGGTTATAACCTGTGCTTTACTACATAGAAAGCTTTCTCTTTAAAATATAAATACCACTTAAACTTAATAAATAATATATTAACCTTTTAATAAGTT